TCGATCGCAGAAGTTACTCTCTCCCACCCTCCCTCCTCTCTCTCTCTCTGTCTTGCTTTTTGTGTGATTTCTTGGCGGTGGAGGCCGTAATTGTTGCTTACTCTTGCGTTTTGCGTTGCCGTTGCATTGCGTTTTCGCTGCCTAAATTCATTGTTTTTGTTTTAGTTTTAGCTTCCTCTGTTTTCTTTGCGATTTCTGTGAGTCTGTGCTGCGCCGCCGCGGAGTCGACAATTTGTGAATTGGCTGCCGTTTATTTATTTTAATTATTTTCTTTGGCAAATTGCTCATTTCCTACTTACTGAATGGTTACCCTCGCCAGACCCCCCCTCTCCCCTACCCATCCATGGCTATTGTTTGGCAATCAACGCTGATTTATGCCTGGTTTCGCTGCTGTCGCATTGTTGCTGTCACTCTAGCGGTGAATGTGTACATCTGTCCCATGTAGGTGTATGTATGTCTGTCCCACTCTGGCTAGTTGTCTCCAGGGGATGTTCGAAAATTAGTGCAGAAAATGCTTCGAATCTCGAATCTAAACAAAAAACTATAACTTCAATCCGTGAGGGTATCTAAACTCGCGACTCTCAAGGCTAGACTTTTCTTTCCGTTTCCCCTTTGGGAGATTTTTGAAGATTTGTGACCCCCGAAACAACAATTGCCTGTTGAGGAGGGGCCCAGCCAAAGCCCCAGAGAATCTCAAGTGCAGTTTAAGTAGTTTCAAAGAGTTTTGTATATTTTTTGACCCACATTTGCATTTGTCATGAATATTTTGCTCTTATCACAGCATTTTTTATGTGTGTTGCGTCACAAGAAATCTTTGGTGGAAACTTTAAAATATGCGCAATTGGAATTCTTTCGCAATCAGGCCTCGGAGAAAGCTTCCAGTTAAAAGTGCACATGTGATATATCATTCAATCTATTATTATATATGTTTGCCCCGTCATCTGTGTATTCTCCTAAATTGGTAGCCCGTGTGTCCCACGTATCTCAAAGGCCATACAAATTGGTTGTCTATTAATGAATGAAAATTGCTTTTGCCCCTTTATGGATGGATGGATGTTTGAATGAATTGTTGTTTAGACTGAAATCCAACCGGAAATGTTTCAAAATTTTCTCTTTTATCTATGTATCCACACACGAATGAATACTCATACGAGTGTGTGGTTTTTCGGAGTCCCCGAGTGAGTTATGACTTCTGCGAAAACCGAGGTTGGAGAACAAACGAAAACGATGGGTATTTCGGCTGGGGAATTCATTAATCTTTGGGAACAAAAAGCTATCGTTAAAAGTCGGTGGGAAATGCATAAATACGAAATAGAATAGAGGTATGGGAGGGTTCCTTCATCTCTGACAAGCGATTATCGTTCGTTGCAAGTGCAGTAAATGGAATGGCAACCAACAAGGGAAGGGCATCATCATCATCAGCATAGCTCTACAGAACTGGAGCTCAGACAATTGTTGGGACGGGAAGGGGGAGGGAAATGGAGCTGCGGACCGGGGACTGCTTGTTGCATGCGTTGCATTGCACAAACAAATTTATGAGCTAACTTGAAAGTTCAAAAGTTTATCGTGTTTTTTGTGTCTGACCATGATAATGACAGAGGCCTGTACATAGATGGAATGGAATGGAGTGGAGTGGATTACTCACTCGCGTGTCTACAATTTGTAGTCTGTTAATTCGGTTCTGTGTTCTTCCACTTCCTATACTTGTTTTTAACTACTTTATTACGCACCAAAAACAACGTCTCAAATTTTCATGTATGTTCTTTCTTTTCGTACGAACACAGAACCGTGCTCTGCCCGCCAATGCCTCGCCCTTCCGACGAGCCTGGGGTCAGTCTTCATTCCGTACACCGCGCTCCGACAAGGGGGCCAAGCAGCTGCAGCCCCACCAGCAGCAGCAGCAGCAGTCGTCATCGCCGCTGGTGAGACGCACTGCCTCGATGAACGCCTCCGACAATGATATGTACATCAAGACCCTGATGCTGGACGACCTGAAGACGTCGACACGGAGCCAGCAGCAGCTGAGCCTGCTGCAGGTGCCCAAGATCCTGACCACGCCGGCGCCACCGTCCGCTATATCGGTAAGCGCAGAGACAGCCGCCGCCGCTGACAACCTGCCAGACAATGGCAGTCCCAGCAGCTGGGGCGGATCCTTCGAGCGAATGCTGCAGGATGCCGCCGGAATGCAGACCTTCTCCGAGTTCCTCAAGAAGGAGTTCTCGGCGGAAAACATTTACTTTTGGACCGCCTGCGAGCGCTATCGCCTGCTCGAATCGGAGGCGGAGAGGGCCATTCAGGCGAGGGATATCTTTGGGAAGCATCTGGCGAACAGCAGCAGCGATCCCGTCAACGTGGACTCCCAGGCCCGCAGTCTTACGGAGGAGAAGCTCGCGAGTGCCGCACCGGATATCTTTGCTCCCGCCCAGAAGCAGATCTTCAATCTGATGAAATTCGATAGCTACCAGCGCTTCATACGCTCCGATCTCTACAAGAGCTGTGTGGAGGCCGAGCAGAAGAACCTGCCCCTGCCATACAGCGGCGCCGATCTGGACGAGCTGCTGAAGACAAATTTTCACTTAGCTGCCTCCTCAAAGGTGAGTGTTTTGCATCCACGATTGATTGCCAGAATGTTCCCTAATTTCTCTCTTTTGGCAGCTCAAGAAGTCGGTCAGCAATGCCGAGGATCGTCGCCGTAAGAGCCTACTCCCATGGCACCGCAAGACGCGGAGCAAGTCCCGCGATCGCACGGAGATCATGTCCGATCTGCAGAGCAGCTCTTTGATGCCAGCGCCGCCGTTGCCGCCACCGACTCTGTTGTCCAGCGCCTCGCTGAAGATCGCCTCGGGTCAGAATTCGTTGAGTGATCTGCACAGCTCGCGCTCCTCCCTGTCGTCGTTCGATGCCGGAGCATCCGGCGGCCATGGCGCCAGTGCGGAGAGCGTGTGCTCCCTGTGTCGTGTGATCCTAACGGATGGAGCCACCACCATTGTGCAGACGCGTCCCGGGGAGACGGTGGGACAGCTCGTAGAGCGGCTGCTGGAGAAGCGGAACCTCGTGTATCCCTACTACGACATTGTGTTCCAGGGCAGCACCAAGTCCATCGATCTGCAGCAGTCGTCGCAGCTGCTGGCCGGCAAGGAGGTGGTGATCGAGCGCCGAGTGGCCTTCAAGCTGGATCTGCCCGACCCGAAGGTGATCTCCGTGAAGAGCAAGCCCAAGAAGCAGCTGCACGAGGTGATCAGGCCCATACTGACCAAATACAACTACAAAATGGACAACGTGCAGGTGATAATGCGCGACACTCAGGCCCCGCTCGACCTCATGCAACCGGTGACGATGGCCGATGGCCAGCGGCTGCGCATCGTTCTGCTCCAGTCGGATTTTCAGTGCGGCGGCGGCAGTAATATGCCGCCGAAGCAGACTAAACCAATGAAGCCGCTGCCGCCCACGGCACAGGCGCACGCACAGGGACAGCTGGACGAGCTGACGAACAAGATGTTCAACGAGCTGCTGCAGAGCAAGGCGGAGGCGGCGGCCAGTGACAGGTCGAAGCCCCAGCCCAGTGATCTATGCTCCATGAAGTCCAACGAGGCGCCCTCGGAGAGCTCCTCCTCCCTGTTCGAGAGGATGCGGCGGCAGCAGCAGCGCGACAACATTCCTGGCAGCAAGCTGCCCAAACTGAAGAAGAAGTCAACAAGCAGTCAACATTCCGAGGAGACAACTGCCAATCCCTCCTCCTCCTCCTCTCTGGTGGCGGCGGCGGCAGCAGCAGATCCCAAGAAGCCCATCATTGCAAAGCTGAAGGCGGGCGTGAAGCTGCAGGTGACCGAGCGAGTAGCTGAGCACCAAGGTGGGTAGCCGTAGCCCCCTGCAGTGCCCCTTGAACGAGAACCGCTAGACTAAACACTCCCTTCCATTCTGATTTCACAGATGAACTACTCGAGGGCCTGAAGCGGGCACAACTGGCGCGCCTGGAGGATCAGCGGGGCACTGAGATCAACTTTGATCTACCCGATTTCCTGAAGAACAAGGAGAATCTCAATGCAGCCGTCTCCAAGCTGCGCAAGGTGCGGGCCAACCTGAGTCCCGTCACCAGCAAGGTCCCGCCCAGTCCCACAGAGATCCCGCAGCCGGCGCCACGCCTCTCCATCACGCGCAGCCAGCAGCAAGTATCTCCCATGAAGGTGGACCAGGAGCAAGAGACTGAATTGCCTGTGGACACGCAGGATCAAATTGAATTTGCCAAAGCGCCGCCACCGTTGCCGCCAAAGCCAAAGGTACTGCCCATCAAGCCATCCAACTGGGGAGTGGCCGTGCCGCAGACAGCCGGAATCTACTGCAACAAATACTCCCCCACCAAACAGGTCCCAACGTCGCCCACGACAAAGGTTGCTGTGGTCTCCGCAGCGGCCTTTGTCAGCAAAATTCCCCTGGACATTGGACGCAAGACGCTGGAGGAGGCGGCGGCGGGCACGCGGTGCGCCTACCTGGACGAGCCGAGCAGCAGTTTTGTGTGATACTTCCTGGATTCCCTATTCCCCATGAATGGAATTGGCATTGTTTTTAACTGGTCCTGAAATGCTTATGTACATATATATCTGCACTATTTATTGATACCCGAACTCTCTCTGTTGAATGAATGTCCACCACATGACCAACCATGACCATGAGCCTTCTATGTAATCTTCAATAACTAGCAACCATAAGCCCTTAGTTTAAACATTTTGTATAAATATACAACAAACATATGCATATAAAACGTGGAAAATTGTTATTTCTAGATTAAGAATATGTGTATATCTTCCACTTGGGTAGATGAAACAGTTTTCAAAGCTTTTCAAAGCCTATGAAATATTTTGGAAATACATTTTATAATGAGGCAAGTGTTGGCGCTTAAAAACAAAACTGAAACACATTTCCCATTAGAGATCCAAAGTTCCCATTTTAAGTGTCCGTATATAAAGGCCCGTTGGCCGTTTCTGTAGTAAACAGTTTAGAAAATAAACCCTCAAGCGATGGTGAAGCTAATGCTGAATTTTGCGATTCTAAGCCTGCTGCTTTGTCTGGCATCAGCAACCAAAAAGGAGTTGCTTGAGCACCGAAAGAGTAAGTGAAAACTACGAGTGGATGAACTTTTGATAATTCAACTGTGATACTTCTCTACAGAGATTTGCATGCAACCTAGCGACTATGGCAGCTGCAAGGAAAGACGGTTGCGATGGTATTACGATCCAACGGCCAACGCCTGCAAGCCCTTCACCTATAGTGGCTGCGGTGGAACCTACAATCGATTCGAACGCGAAACCGAATGCTGGAACTATTGTATGGACCCGGATATCTTTTACGAAACTAGCTAGGGATTCCATAAGTTTTCCCATGTACAAAGAGATGGATGTGGAATTGGTGGATAATATCTATTGAATAAACCGTATTTGCTTTGAAATCTTCAGCTATCAAAGATGCAGCAAAGTGTGTCAGTTGCTACCGATTATATCCTCTGTATATGTAAAATGGAAAACTAGTATAAATATATGGTATATGCATTTAGTATCTTTTAATCAACTTACTTATTTAATAAACATTTTAACGAGGCAAGTGTTTGCCTGAAACAGATTTCCCATTAGATATTCCAAGGGCTCCATTTCAGCGGCCGTCTATAAAAGGCTGTTGACCATTTGTGGAGCAGTCAGTTGACCAAATAAACCCCTAAGTTATGCTTAAGCTAATCTGGAGTATTGTGTTTCTGGGGCTGCTGGTGGGCCTGACAGCACTCCTATATCCAATGAACTTTTCGGACCGGCTAAGTAAGTTTAATTTTTGTGCCCTTTTGTTCATTTTACTAGGATATTTCTTGACAGTTAATTGCGTGAAACCTATGGAGTATGGTCACTGCAATGATAAACAGTCGTTATGGTATTACGACTCCAAATCGAAGTCCTGCAAACCGTTTACCTACAGCGGCTGCGGTGGAAATAATAATAGATTCTTGCGAAAAGGCGGATGCCAGGACTACTGCATGAATCCGGACTACCCTGAGATCGAATAAATTGATGGATGAGGGATAATATCTTTTGAGCTGATTCAGCCTCAGGTGAAAAAGGATGGAGTTATACATATAATCTTATGTAATATAACTATTTACGAAATACATACAATATCGAAACAAGTGTTTAACGTTTAAGAGAAAACTGAAACAGATTTTCAATTATATATTCAAAGTTCTCGGTTTCGGCGAGCGTGTATAAAAGGCTGCTGACGATTTGTCCAGCAACCAGTTGACAAAATAAACCCTCAAGCGATGGTTAAGCTAATGCTGAATATTGTGGTTATAGGCCTTCTGCTGAGTATGGCATTAGCCTTGAGCACACGCGATGCTGCCGAACGATTGCGTAAGTGCAAGCTGCAAAAATAAAGGTTTCAATTACCCTACCATAATTGTTTACAGGGAATTGTATGAAGCCCCGTGCGTATGGCTACTGCCGTGGATCGGAGAGCCGATGGTTTTACAACTCCACTGACAACAATTGCAATTCGTTCATCTACAGCGGCTGTGGTGGGAATATTAATAGATTCACAAGTCGATCCGAATGCCATGACTATTGCATGCACCCGGATATACCCTATGATAGAAAATGAACCATTGAGGGATAATAACTATTGAAGAAATCTTTAATTAATCAGTTTTAGAAGCCATCAAGCATTAGTCTCCACATGGATAGATGGAACACTATGGAGTTTGCAAAAGTATATACCCCTTAGCCACCTGCTAATAAACAAATTTAATATAAATATTATCGAAATGCATACTACCACGAAACAAGTGTTTGCCTTTAAGCAGATTTCCCATTATATATATATAGATGTATGTATATTTAAAGTTCTCGTTTTCGTCGACCGTGTATAAAAGCCTGTTGGCCATTTGTCGAGCAATCAGTTGACAAGGTACCGATGGGAAAGCTAATGCTAAATCTTGTGGTTATAAGCCTTCTGCTGTGTCTGGCATCAGCCTTAACCCGAAAGCAGGCTGCCGAGCGGATGAGTAAGAGCAAATTAAATAAAGGTTTGAATGAACCCAACGATAACTGTTTGCAGATAATTGCATGGAGTTTAAAGCGTATGGCGAATGTCATGGATCACACACCCGATGGTTCTACGATACGATGACCAACAATTGCAAGACTTTCGTCTACAGCGGCTGTGGGGGCAACTTTAATCGATTCTCCAGTGCATCCCAATGCTTTAACTATTGCACGCACAAGGATATATCCTATGATAGAAAATGAACTGTTAATACATAGTAGCTATTGGATAAACCAATTAATTATGATTCGATTTGAATTCTTAAGCTATAACAGATACCTTTTAGGTATATAAACCTTAATAATTCGTATGCATAAAGCTACTTAGCCCCGAGGGGTAGGTGCAAGTAGATGGAACTTTATGGAGTTTTCAAAAGTATATGTATATCCCTCTAACCACCTGTTAATAAACTTATTTAATATACACATATTTGATTATGATGGCCTTCAACCAAAACACATTTCCCATTAGATATTCCAAGTGCACTTTTTGGGTGCCTGTGTATAAAAGCCTGTTGACCGCTTGTCGAGCAATCAGTTAACAAAATAAACCCTCAAGCGATGGTTAAACTAATCCTGCATATTGTGATTCTAAGCCTGCTGCAATGTCTGGCATTAGCCCTCAGTCCGCACATCATTTTCTACCGGAATAGTAAGTGAAAACAGAATAAAGATTTAAATCAGACTAAGGTAATTTTGTACAGAGCTTTGCACAGAGCCTCTCTCGTATGGCAGCTGCCGCAGTATCCAGAAGCGCTGGTATCACGACCCAAGGTCCAAAAGTTGCAAGGTGTTCTACTACAGCGGCTGCGGCGGAAATTATAATCGATTCATATCCAAAACCGTATGTATGGAGTACTGCTCGAACCCTTCAAGCCCTTACTCTGTGAAGTAATTATAACTATTCTATACACTATTCAAACTCTTATGCTATATATAACAAACGAAAAAGGTCTAGAAACCTAAAAAAATAATCCAAAATGTGAGTCTGCCGGTGAATAAAGAAATAAGGAAAACAAAGCAAAATCATTTTTAAAAATTAAAGGTTTCTTTAGCCTAGCCTCAGCTCAAGATTATTGTACAACATTAACGTGCGGTCGTCTGAGTCGCCAGGCGACCCAGAGAAAATACAATCAAAGGGCCAGAGTTGGCTTTGAGCTGCGCTCAGGTGGGGTGTCCAGCTGCAGTTGCTCCTTTGGCTGCTCGCTGCCTGCCTCTAGTGGTTTGGGCTCCTCGCCAGCACCCAGCTCTTTCGGGGGCTCTTCCTCCACGTCCTCAATGAGGCGATAGGTTATGGGCGACGGCTGCTTGGCTGGGAGCCAGTCGGGAATTATCTTGTCGTGCAGCCTCCACTTGCCGTATTCGTTGGAAATGTGCTTCTCAAACACCACGTACTCCAGCACATCCTTCGTGAGGATCTCGCTGCCGTGCATCAGGCGACCAAAGCGATCGTAGATGGCCAGCATCTGTTGAGTGTGGAAGCGCACCGTCACCTGGGCAAACTGGTTCTCCTTGGTGATGACCTCAGTGCACCGAGCATGCACAACACGAGGGGGCTCCAGCGACTGCAGGAATCGCCAGTGTATGGTCTTGTCCTTAACGTTGTGCATCATCTCGGGATAGCAACGCTCGCTGACATATTCACGTATCTTATACTTTTCCTTGGCCGCCATCAGCGTGTGGGCCGCTACATAGATCTCCTGGGCCTCGGCTCCAAACTGGTCGCTGCTGAAGCTCTCGTCGTACGACCGTATTTTTCGTACGGCTATCAGACTCTTTGATTTCTTTTCCAGGAACTCCAGTTTCTGCTTGGCTCCGCTGGAGGAAATTATGGATTTCTTGCCATCGCCCTCAGGTGGGACATATGCCTCGAATATGCCGCCAGTACAACTGATATGAAATGGGCGCTCCATCCAGGGGCGTGGCGGCAGCACACCACGTTCCTTCATACGGCTCCGCATCTCCTCCTTGCTGATGTCTTCCGGCTTTTCGCGGAAATTAGGCAGTTCAATTTTCACAAACTTCTGCCTGCGCAACTTCTTGAACTCCGGTTTCCAGTGCTTGGTCTGTCGATGGCGTACCTGCTGCATTTGGAGCGCCGGTGCCAAAACCCCCAGGCCACCAGAACTCACAGCCTGGGGCATCACCTGAATTCGTGAATGAAAGAGTGGTAAGGATGCAAATGTGACATTATGTACATCATCTGAATAGTTACCTGCAAGAATTTGAGGCACGTTTTTGCCGACACAAGCTTTTCCATGGTAAATAAAATTTAATTAATAATTATATAAAAATCGTCCAGCCCTCGGAAATATACCAAAATATACCATATGATTTCAAAAATATACCGTAAATATACTGAATTCAAGTTTTACTATACATATTTCTCGATTTTGATCTTCCGTGGAATATTCTTAGCTATATAGCACATTTAGACATGCCCACATAATTTTATCCGATTAATGAATCAATTTTCTACTTGACTGGCATGTTATAAATACTTGACTTTGATTGTTTTTGCCTCAATTTTAGTTGCTCAACAACAATATAGCGACTCGTATGATGGAAAACCGACTTAGCCCACTTAAGCCCCCTATATTTAAATAGTTCAACTACTTGAGGTAAATGGCGGAAAATATTAACGATTGTAATTTCTTATAAATCCTATCCTTCCCTTTAACTTGCCAAGCCCCACTAATATTTCATCTGAACTGCGCTAAAATGATTACCCCCTTGGCTTATAATAGGTTAATCGTTCTCCATCAAGGATTGGAAACCATATTGCTTAATTTTGATGTTCCGTCAAATATTATGCGCTAGATAGAACATTTAGCCATGCCCACATAATTTTATCCAATTAATGAATCTATTTTCTAATTGACTGGCTTATTTTAAACACTTGCTTTTATTGGATTTTGCGTAAAAAGAGGTTTTAGCGAAAATGGTCAATGGGTCAGATGGGCCTAGACAGATCATCGGTCGCATTATTAAGCGGAGTCTGCGTTGGAACTGTCATGGAACTGGAACGATTAACTGCCATCAAGGAGATTAACAGTTTTGGGCTTGGGTTGAGTTGATACAATTTGATCTGCTTGGCCGATATGCAAAGCTGTGGGAAGGGCGAGTAGGATATTGTTAGTTTAAGAATTTAGGCATACATATATCGTGTCTTTCCAGGCACCTTGTTGATGGGACACGGAAAGTGTCCTGGCCGCTTGCAGCAGTCGGCCTCATCGTGGACATTGTCACTGTTGTCACAGGTGGTACCATCGCAGATCAGAGCCTTGTCTCTGCCCTCGGTTGACTGTCAGCTGAACTGATCCGCCGGGCAGTCCTTTCGTCACAGTGCCAGAAGGCGGATATACAGTCGTTCTTTATGTCACTACTCCCGCCACTTAAAATTATCTGTCCGGATAGACGCCGTAGTTCTCCTTGTCCTCCAGTAGCATCAGATGCTTGGGGCACGAGCAGACGTCGTGCGCAGCACTTTCGCATCCGGTGTCCACACGGCACTGATGTCGGTGAACTGCGACAGACGCTGCAGCTCCGCGGAACGACGCTCTCCGTTGACAGTGATCCACTCCAGTCCGGTCTTGTCATCCAGCCAGTACACAAATGCTCCCAAGGCGGCAATGTTGTTCACTTGCGAGATGTGCATGGAAACAAAAATTTTCCTGTGAGAGGGAACAGGGGATTACACATGTGTTCAGAGGGTCGGGTCTCCATATTGGTTGCTTACTTGTTCTTTCCTTTGAGGTCTATCACATTGATTCACTTGCCATGGGCATAGTAGACTGTTGTAGTCGGACTGTTGGTCCAGGGCCAGCGCCGTGACTCCTTCCAGCTTGTAGGCCAGCTCCACACGCTCACTGCCTTCGAATCGGGCCCGAATGATGGCCTGATGGCTGCTGACATCTGTCCAGAAGAGCAAACGCTTCATGGCATGCACGGCAATGTTGCGAGGCTTCTCCGAGTCCCCGGTATCGTTGACGCCTACGGATTCACCCAGGAAGCTAAAAGAGGCAACGCTTTGGGAACACAATTGTGCGGATGAATCGGAGAGAGAGAGAGATTCACCTTGTCACGTTAATGCTGTTGGAGTAGGAGCAGGTCCAGAAGAGCAGCCGCCCAATGATGTCGATTGCAATGTCGAACGGCTGTCCGGAGTTGGCCAAGAGGCTCACCTTTGTGCCATTTGCCAGAGAACGCTTGATGCTGTGACTCCTGCCTTCGATTTGAAAAAAGAAAAAGAAGGAATAGGGATATTAGGGACACCGCGCTCAGCTTTTGCTAATCCTCCTTACCCAGTAAATGTAATGCGAGATCGGATCATAGTCCACGGCGCGGATATTCTTGCCGGACACTGACAGCGGCACATTCGAGCAGTCTATCGTGAAGATGATGTAGTTCTTGCAGGAGACCCCGTCCTTGGCCAGCTGGTAGTGGGTGGGGCAGGCACAGGTCATGCCCCGTCTGCGGGCTGGGCCAGGCACAGGTGGGAGCAGCTCCCGTTGTTGATCTTGCACGTATTAGCCCCACCTGTCGCTTGTCGTTGCACAAAAGCAGCGAAGTGATGTAAGTCATGCCCGAGTGGACGAGGCTGCGGTTCTCGCCCGTCGTCTTGTGCACCCGCTCAATGTCGCCGGTGTTCCAGTCGCTCCAGTACACGTAGTCCTGATACAGGGAAACCGCGTGGCGCTGCTTATGGAGTCCGAAGGCGACTCTGTCCAGTACATGTAGCCGTGGCGCGGCTCGAGGACCAGGGACCGGGGCTCCTCCACCTCCTTCCACAAGAGCACGCGCCGACTGCTGCCATCCAGGCGGGCGACCTCGATGAGACGAACCTCCGCATCGGACCATCGGATGCCGTCCGGCCCAATCAGACCCGAGTCCACGATCTGCTGCACATAGGAGCCATTGAGAAAGGCCCGGAAGATGCACTTGGTCTTCTGGTCAGTCCAGTAGATGCGCCTCTCCGCCACCGACACGTCCAGGGCGTGCGCATCGCCCACATCCTTGAAGGGTATCGCTCGTCGTCGTGGTTCCGTTCCCGTCGCTGTACTCGGTCGAGAGAACAGCAGGAAGGCGGCAGGCACAGGTACAGGCGGTGGAGCAGGCCCCATTCCCCACGGCTCACGCACGTTCTCCACGGTCTTTCCATCGCACCAGACGCCAGAATCATGAAGACGCAGGTGTACAGATGCCGTTTCAGCCGAACAGCTGTTCACCCCCCTATCGACCGTTAGTAATTTAAGACCATTTGTGGTTCATTTTTGCTTTTTATATAATATAATTCCAACTAACTTTCACAACTGATTTTTGTAATGGGGACTGCATTGTAGATTCAAAACTTAAATAAGTAACTTAACGTGATTGAACATAACATCTAGTTATGTAGAAATTCCTCCTTCTGAAAGGGATTATTTAGATTACAGAACAAAATAAGCTTCTAGTGTATACGAACCTTAAGCTCCTTAAACTTCTTTAAACGACCATCTTGTTGCTCCCTGCAAAAAGGCTGTTATGAATAAACTTTTCTATTTGTTGGAGATATGTACATACTTTGGAGAAAAGTCCCCTCCAGAGCACATGCGACCTTTGGGAGGAGAAAAGACTTTTGGCAAATTCTTCAGCTGCTTCAGACACACCTTGGCGTTTTCAATGTCGCTCTCCAAGCGCATCACTAAAAGTACAAGGCGATGATGATTGGAACCAAGTCGATTTGATCTGATTTAACGCTTGGACTTACCCTTTTTCAATAGTTTCCCCTCTTTGGGAGCGCAGAAGCACTTCGACTGCGGTGGTGGGTTGGGGGTGGAAACCTTTCGCTCGGGGCATTCATTTGCAGTCACCTCGCGAAGCAGGGTGTTGAACAGGCAGCCCGGTAGAATATACTCGGCCGCAGCATAGATACGCTTGTGGATGTAGGCCAGCTCGGCAAAGCTCAGTGAGGTCAGTCCACGGTGATAGAGCTTGTGGCAGATGGCGTAGAAGCGACTGTTGGGTATGTTGCACTTACAAAAGCAAAAACCGCACTCTTCGACGAACATGTCGAGGATTTTACGCAGCTCAATTTCCAACCCACAGCCGTCGATCTCGCCAGCTGACAGAGTTTTAACCGTGTTCCGCACAAAATCGTCGAATTGTTCTTCTGCTCCCTCTATGTCGGATCCTTTATAGCCCTTTTTCTGGCCCTTTCCTCCGGGTCGTCCCTTATTGCCAGTATCTTTTCCGGCATTACGACCGCCACCGGGCTTGGATGCTGCTCCCGATCCCGGTCCCGACTTTCCACCTTTTTCTGTGTCCGAGACGACAGCCTCCTTTACGACTTTTCCTTTCCCACCGGCTGCTCCAATCGCCTTCTTATCGTCAACTCCGGCTTTTCCCTTCTCTTTTTCACCGGCACCTCCGTCTTTTCCTGCCCCCTTTCCATCGTCTTTTTCGGCTATTCCTTGCCCCTTTCCATCGTCTTCTCCGGCCTTTCCCTTCTCTTTTCCATCGGCTTCTTGTACTGTTTTCAGCCCCTCCTTATCGTCTTCACCGGTCTTTCCTTTTCCCTTTTCATCGGCTGCTCCGGCTTTTTTCGGTCCCTCCTTATCGTCTGCACCGGCTTTTCCTTTTCCCTTTTCATCGGCAGCTCCGGCATTCTTCAGCTCCTTCTCATCGTCTTCTCCGGCTTTTACTTTCCCTTTGCCACTGTCTTCTTCGACTTTTCTTTTCCCTTTTCCACTGTCTTCGACGTCTTTTCCGGATATATCTTTTCCTTTTCCACCAGCTTCTCCGTCCTTTCCAACCTCTTTCTTCTCGTCTTCTACAAGTTTTCCTTGACCTGTACCTTTCTCTTTGTCTTCTCCGGGCTTTCCATCCAATTGTGCGCCGTCAGGTGTCTTGGCCTCCTTTGCTGCATCTTTGCTTTCATCTTTTCTCTCGATGGCATTCGGATCTCCACCCAGTTTTTTGAGGGCCGCGTCCAAAGCTTTGTTTCTCTCCTCGAGCTCTTGAGCCCTCTTCTTGCAGTCCTCGAGCTGCTTGCTTAAATCATCGAAGAGCTTCTGGGCCTCGCTGTCTTTGAGCTGGCTCACTTGATTCTTGAGCATTTCGTTTTCCTCGGCTACATCTCCGATGTCCTTAATGAGGCCAATGCTCTCGCCGAAGCTCTCCTCCATGACTTTAGTTTCATTGTCGAGTTGTTTGATCTGCTTGTCCAATTCCTTTAGTTTCCTTCTGTCCTCTTCGGCGGCCTCACAGAGGCACTCGTTCTCATCGATCAGCTCCTCCAATTGGCCGTCCTTATTCTTCAGCAAGTTCCTGAGGCGATTCAACTCGCGGGTGCAGTCTTCCAGCGTATTGATTTGGGTGCCACCAGGATAGTTGGCTTGGTTCATTTCTTGGAAGCTGTTCCCTTGCTTCGACATCTCGCCCATGATGTGGTCCAGAGTGGCTTCCGTGTAGATGGCCAGATCAGCGTCCATATCGCCACCGCCACCGCAGGGGGCTGTCGCCTTCTCTGGAAGTGGCTGACATTCGGCCCGCTGGTCACCGTACTTCTGATTCAGCTCACAGACGACGTTCTGCAGGTGGGTTAGTTTAGGAATAAAACAAACTCAAAGCAACGGAGAGGAAAATCATTGGAAGCAGCTATGGATCTATCAATGGATCTGTGGATCTATGGATCTATGGATCTATGGAGACTGCTTTTGAGATATGGGGAGAATGGAAACGGAAGGGAAGCTCCAGCGACCTTCCTCTCACGTTGCGCGCTCTTTTGGATGGTCTTTTGGATAAACCGGAATACACATTTAATTTGATAAAACAAATCAGATTTCGATCTTAGGTGGCTAGGAATTTGGTCAGTTGAATTCTCGGACTGGGCTATTGTTGGCGCGTGCGGCTCCTAACATGGACAATCTCTATTATCCCCATTCTCACTATCTTTGCTGTCTTCCGGCAGTTTGTCAAGATAGCGATAGCCGCCATTCCTAAAGAGCTTGGCCTTGGTCTAGAGAACGAGCAAAATCAGATCCATTTAGCCTGGCTTCCAATGACCCCTGATCCGATCACGCTTTGTACTTACCATCAGCTGCTCGTACTGGATGCCGTAGGCGCTCAGGGCAGCGTCCCGCTTGCGCAGCTCGTTGCGCAGCACATCGATCTCCATCGCGTTGCAGTCGGCCTGCTGGACGGTGGTCTGGACGACGGCCAGTTGCTTCTTCATCTCGTTGCAGCGGCACTAGAAGAGCGGAAGGTGGTTGTGAGACGAGAGGCCGAAGGTTGTCCGAATTCGTGTAGTACTCACCAGGAGCATCTCCTCGATTCCTTTGGCCTTGTCCACCTCGCCCTCGTAGAAGTCCTGCATGTCTTCCATCTCCTGCTGGATGTCGTTGATATATTGATTTTGCTGTTTAAGATTATCCTCGAGGTCGCCATTCACATGATGGGCTGTCTCGGCCTGGTCCTTCAGTTTGTTGACCGTGTCGTTGAGCATCGCCAGGGCCTTGACCTTCTTGCGCAGGGCATCTCGCTCCGCCAAGATCTTCTGAATGTTGCCGACGTCCTTTTCGGGCGAGAACGAATACTTGCTGCCAGACTGGTGGCCTGCAGCCTTCATGTACTCGTCCTCGGCCTGGCGCAGCAGGACCAGTTCCTTGCCCAAATTTTCAATCTTGTTCTGCAGATAGGGTATGTCGGTGCTCTTCTCGGGCTCGATCTGAACGCTCTCCAAGTTGCAGCGCTTCGACTGCTTGTCGATGAGGCGCTTGAGGTTGGCATTTTCGGCCTCGAGGATATCGTGGGCCTTGTTCATGTCGTCAATGGCCCTCATCAAATCATTCAGCTCCTGCTCATCCTTGGCATCGATCTTGTTAGCGTCGGCCAGCTCCTTCACCTTCCTCTTCAGGGCCTTGCTTTTATCTGGATCGTAGCGCTGGCCCATAATACGCTTGATTTCGGCCGACTCCTCCTTGGCCGTCTTAAGTTGCTCGTTTGAGCTGGCCAGCTTTTCCTTCAGAATGTTGTTTTTGATCATCAGACTCTCCATGCGACTCAGCGTGTTACCGGCTGCATTGATTAGGCTGTCGCCTACCACCAGATTGCTGCCGTACTCATCCGTGGGTGCACTTCGCTGTACCAAGGGTCCGCTACTGCTGCTTCCGGGACCGCCAGTATTGGCTCCGGATCCACCGGATCCTCCAGATCCTCCAGGTCCTCCAGGTCCTCCAGATCCTCCAGGTCCTCCCGATCCTACAGATCCTCCGGTCCCATTGCCCCGTTGTGCTCCAGCATTGCTTCCACGTCCACCAGAGCCAGCGCCAGCGCTGCTTCCGCGTCCACCAGAGCCAGCGCCAGCGCTGCTTCCGCGTGCACCAGGGCCAGAACCAGCACCAGCACCAGAGCCAGTGCCAGAGCCAGCTGGCTGTAGCTCATCATTGCTTCCGCGTCTGCTAGCGTTGCTTGAGGGAGCGCCGGTATGGACACCGGATCCTCCAGATCCCCCGACTCCATCGCCTCTTTGTGCGCCAGCGTCGCTTACGCGTCCGGATCCGCGTGCACCAGGGGCAGCCGCAACTTGCTGACCAGCTTTGCTAGTTCCATCCTTACCGCCAGACGGCCCCTTGCCCCGCGAATCATCGCCACGACTAGCACCAGCACCACCAACACCACCAGGTACGTTGCAGGCCACCAGCTCAGCCACGAAGCGCGACTTCTGGTTTTCGTTTGCCGACCAGGACCGATCATCGATCGTTGATGGATAGCTCTTCAGTTTAACACACGTCTGACACTCACGGTTCGGGGTCGTGGTGTTCTTAAAGGGCACATGGAAGAACTCCTTTTGTGTGGAGAAGGCCATGATGTTGTCCTTAGGTCGCAGTCAACACTCAATGTCTGTTATTTGCCGCGCGAATTCTTATTTATATTGTAAAAAGTTTATTTTCTAAAATAATTTACGATTGTACGTCCGACATTGATGGAATCCCCAAAATTTCTGTTGCTCAAACGATACAATTTCTACGAACACTACAGACAAGGCTTTGTTCTGGATTGGCAGATCTCAAATCAGCACTAGATAGACATACCGCCAGCTATGATCGATATAAAATACAACTAGATAACATTGCCAGGGATTTAGTGGGGGGGAAGGGGAGCCAAATCATTCCAGACCCTGGACACGTCGCTCCGCCAGGGATTCGTCTACTGCGTTCATGCCGCTAAAGCCGCTCGGCTGCATCGTCATGCTGGCTGTTCCCGAACTAATCGTTCGCAGGGCGCTAGAGTAACCGGAAAGCTCGGCCAGCGGGGCATTCACCAAAATCATCTGAATAAGCCAAAGGGGGTCAAAAGGGCCTGGAATAAGTCTGAAATGTGGCTGCAACTCACTTTATTTCTTTCACCCTTGGGCAGTACATCGTTGATAAGGGCCCGTCGTCTGGATAGGTCGGCCATTATGCCCGAGATCCGTTCGCTAGGCGCCACAATCTGCAGGGCCATAATGGGCTCCAACAGGCGGGTACCGCTCGTGCTCAGCAGCTGCAAAAGATGGCCAAACGATTCACTTGACAAACTGTCAGCCTGAGATTACGGAATTCGCCCTTACTTTCTGGACGCACTGAGCCGCAGTGGCCATCACAAAGGAGTCGGCTGTTCCACGACCAATGATTGCATTGTGCAATCGGATCTGCGTGTCCACCACTTGACCGCCCACTCGGGGTCCACGCTCCAGAGCGCTGACAGAGCCTTTTCTTATCACCTGCAGAGTGCGAGGACGCAACGTGTTGAGGTTCGACAGGTTCTCCGGTGACTTATCTAAACTTTGGGTACACAGATAGACGTAAGATCAGTTCTCGACTTGTTCGGACTTGCAGTGGGACAAACCTAAAGAGCTCGTCATGGTCTTTGACCACCTCCAGGGTGAGGCTAACGTTCTGCTTGCTGCCAGCAATCTCCTTTTCCACGCTAAGCGTAGTGAGGGAAGGCGATTCGATGGTTTCCTTGTAGGCTATTTGCAGGGGACCCAGATCCACGTCGATCTTGTATTCGCTCAGAATGCGCGACTTGATGATGTCCATGTGCAGTTCCCCCATGCCGCCCAGCACTGTCTGGCCGGTGACACTGTCGTAGCTGACGCGGAGACTGGGATCTTCCCGTTGCAGTTGCCTCAGTGCCTGCTCCATGGCCGTTTGCGAGGACACACTGGGGGGCTCAATGGAACAGAAGTATACGGCATCTGGTATTTGCCGGTCAATGCCGAACAGCTCGTCGGTGTCCAGTTCTTCATCCTCATCTGCTGAAACTGTGCCCTGGCTTTGCTTTAAACGTTTCTGGGCATTCCTCAGGGCTGTCTGACTGGATGTGAGCAGATCTCCAGTAACTGTTGACTAGCCAGGAACAAAGTTAGCTCATGCCCATTGTAAAGCCACTGTAAAGCTTACCTTAAGACCCGCACATATGACCACATCTCCAGATTGCACGGCGCCCACCTCGCGGTATTCGTCAGCCAGGGGCTCATATAATTTGGATACTACCTCCGCTTGGCCCCGCGAGCAGATGAGACGCATGCCACGCTTTATCTCGCCGCGTAGAATGCGCACCAGAGTCAGAGGGCCCCGCTGCTTGTCGTGGACAATCTTAAAGACTTTGCCAGCAACCTCATTTCTGCAAAAGTTGACAAATTTCGAAAAACTATTTCATTTTCTGACGCTAAATTCTTACCCGAAGCAGTCGTATATTTGGTTGCGTTCCTCTGGCGCTGGCAGATAGGTATTCACGGCATCCATTAAACGCTGTATGCCAACGTTCTTGTAGGCAGAACCCAGCAGCACAGGAACGACCTTCTGCTGACAGGTGGCCCGGCGCAGGGCTCGTTCAATGAGTGCATTGCTGACGTTGTCAAAGCTCTCCGTGCTGATTACCACATCGGCCAGCTCGTCATCCAGTCCCGATAGCTGATCGATCAGCTCATTACGCTTTTCTTGCAGCTGCCGCAGATCATCAGAGGGCTCCAGCTTAGTCTTGCTGTAGCTGCGACCCAGATCTTTCGGCTGCCACGTTAGCTGCTCCAATGTGATCACATCGTTGATGGCTGCAGGGAGAGAAGGTTTGAATGAAGTCCAGCACTCACAGTAAACTCATAATTCTACCCAAAAGTCCATCCTGGTTTTTTGAGGGGTATTGTATGCACACAGGCTGCGTTTCCAGCTTCGTTCTCAAATCATTGACGCATTTGTCAAAGTCTGCATCCGGACGATCCATCTTATTGACGAATGCCAGCCGCGGCAGCTTGTGCTTGTCCGCCTGCGTCCATACGGTGACAGTTTGGGCCTCAACACCAGCCGTCCCGTCCAGAACAACGACAACACCGTCCACGGCATACAGTGATTGCTCGACCTCCATTGTGAAGTCAATGTGTCCGGGGGTGTCCAGCAGGTTGATGCTAAATCAGTCAAGATTTCAGTAAAACAGATTGGTGGAACCATGCCATTGAATGCACCCACCGATTACCACTCCAGGGAAAAGTCACGGCCGAGCTGCAAATCGTGATGCCGCGCTCTCGCTCTTGTGTTAGATAATCGGTCACCGTATTGCCCCGATGCACTTCCCCCAGAGACCGGGTCTTGCCTGAGTAGAACAGCATACGTTCGGTGGTTGTGGTCTTGCCTATGGACACAGGATTCACTTCATCAGGTTTGGTGCAACAACGAATATCAATTAAAACAGTCACCTGCATCAATGTGCGCCAGAATTCCAATGTTCCGGATGTTGCTGCTGTAGCTGCGCCTGAATATATATGCAGAGAGCTGGCGCAGCAACCTGTTGCGTGGCATTCCCCCACTGTGCAATGCATATTTCAGCATTTTCATTGATAAATTAAACTAAAACTAACTAAAATCCGGCAGAACTCGCGGCAGATATTTTGTTATCAGAAACCAGCTGTTTACTAATCGATAGGCGATATTTTCATTTTCCAGCCAACACTTTCCGCGGACTCGGCTATATTTTAATTGAGCCGTGAAATTTAATACAAAACCAAGCTGATATTGTGGAATTAAGTACATAAGGACCTATATAACAGTTGATTCCCGCATAGGGAACGACTAGAGTGCAGACAAGGAAAGAAATCGAACCCATACTCCATCTCTCTACCATCACAACATCGGACTTTTGTTTTGTTTAATAATTTGAAATATGTCGACGCGCCCGCGTCGCCAAGCTGCGACAAGGAAAAGGCTTGTAATTGAGATATCTGATTCCGACGAAGATGCGACTTCAGAATCCAAGGATACCGACGAGTACAGGCCCGAACAGGCTCGGGCTGTAGATAGTGCTGCCGCTGCCACGGCAGGCGTGTAAGTAATAATATGATCAATATCTATCTTATATCTGATATATTCCCGGCCCCACACAGTGCCAAGCGAAAGCGGTGGCCTACAGCCCGGGACACTGCTGCTGACGCTCCAGCGGCAAAGAAAAAGCGCGGCAAAAAGGATTCCAACGTCGAAAATGCTTGCCCCAACCAAAGCAACACTGAGACGGAAGCGGCGGCCTCTGCACCACCCGGATCCTTGACGCAACCAGACGGCGCTGCTGCCAGCACAACCACAGGACGAAGCTCCTTCTGGGAGCGTCGCAAGGTGTGGAACATCCATGAGCTACTGGCCGAAACGGAGAATATCCAGCCCACAGCAGCCCGTAATATTGTGCAGCTTTTTGAGAACGAAAACACCATTCCATTCATATGCCGGTACCTTCAGAAATATAAACAATATATTCATGCACTCTGCCTATAAATAACATTGTATCCCTGCAGCTATCGGCGAGATTTGGTTGACCATTTGCCACCGGACCGGTTGCGTGACATTCGCAACACCTACACGGAGATTGTGGATCTGCGAAAGAAGGCCGAGAACATAGTCACGCAGCTGGAGCGCGAAAATGTGATAAATGAAGAGATTCGGGATGAGCTGATGTGCGCGAAGAACAACGAGGAGCTAGAGTTTCTCTATGCCCCCTACAAGCCGGCCAGCAAGGGCACCCTGGCCGAGCGTGCCAAGGCACTGGGACTGGAGGATTATGCCGATCGTCTGCTATATGGAACTGCACCCCAAGTGAAGCTTTCGTCCATTGTGGATCCTAGCAATGAGGCCTTGGCCACCGAGACGCTGGTGCTGAATGGAATCTGCAACATTATTATACACAATATCAGCAAAAATACAAATGTATTGGAAGAGCTAAGGAGATTGTACGTACCCCCAAGAATCTGGCTTTGATCCAATCAACCGACTCATGAGACACTTATACTTTCAGGCAAAACGTGCACCGCATTGTGCTGATGTGCAGCAAGACAAAGGATTCGGCGGCCAGCAAGGCAAGCAGCGTCAGCGGCAGCAAAGCGACCAAGAGCAGTGCCATTGCCGACCGGAAGATAGACAGCTCAAAGTTTGAGAACTACTTTAATTTTCAGGGCGACATAAAGACAATTAGACCCCATCAGATGCTAGCCATCAATCGTGCTGAAAAGCACAAGTTTCTATCCGTAAAAATGGATACAAACGATTACCTCAAGAGAGATCTCTCTCGCTTTATCTCCGAGCAGTACATGTCCCAGGGCTTGCAGTATCCACTGCGAAGGGAGACATTTAACAGAGCCCTGGAAGAGTGCATCACGAAGAAATGTAAGCCTTAAATACTCTACTCTACCGTTCTGTATGTTGACCATGAGATTCTTTCAGTGCAGCCTTTGATGTGTCGACAGATACGCGCCGACCTGAAGGAGAAGGCACAGAAAGCGGCAATCGATGTTTTTGCCAAGAATCTGAAGCAGCTGCTGCTCATATCGCCTCTCAAGGGTGAACGCATTCTGGGTATCGATCCGGGCTTTACAAACGGTTGTAAACTGGCCATTATATCCGAGACGGCCGATGTGCTGGATACAGGCGTCATCTATCCGCATGGCGCGAGGGCCAACAAGCGAGCAGCCGAACAAAAGTTGGTGGAGCTGCTGAGCAAACACACGTAAGTATTTGTAAATCAATTGTCAATCAATCAATTGAACTTACGGCTTATGGCTGTCCTCTTGAACAGCTGCCAAGTGATTGCCCTGGGAAATGGCACCGCATGCCGCGAAACGGAGTTTTGGCTGACTGATCTGTTCCATGCCGGGATTCTGGACAGCCGAAGCATACGCTACAGCATCGTAAACGAGAACGGAGCCTCGGTTTACTCTTGCAGCGATGTGGCCAGCAAAGAGTTTCCCACTATGGATACGAACGAGCGGAGTGCCGTGTCCATAGCACGACGTCTTAATGATCCCCTCAGTGAGTATGTGAAGATAGAGCCGCGCCACTTGGGCGTGGGCATGTACCAGCACGATGTGTCTGAGAAGACACTCACGGAGTCCCTGAAGGACGTTGTCTCCGAATGCGTGAGCTATGTGGGCGTGGATCTAAATACCGCCAGTCTGAGTGTGCTCAAGTAGGTGGACAAATGATTGCTCTTGAAAACTATTCTAACTTGAATATTCCCCCCATGAAGACACATTGCTGGCCTGTCGGAGAAGAAGGCCGAAAAGATCATAGAGTATCGCACGGCGAAGGGGCCTTTCCAGTCCCGCAAGGATCTGCTCTCGGTGCGTACTATAGGCGAGAAGTCATTCGTACAATGCGCTGGTTTCGTGCGCATCGAGCCGCTGAGCGTGGGAGGGCGGCTGAAGAATCCACTTGACTGCACTTGGGTCCATCCTGAGAGCTACAAAGTGGCCGAAACGTAAGTGCATTTCAGGCATAACTTTTATTCAACTTTCTGTGACATTTTCACCAGTCTGGAGGTGTCACTGGACTCTGTGCTAAATTTGCTGTCACTGCGAGTCAGCTTGGCAGCGATACCAATATTGCAAAGATAGTTGTTCGTACGCCGCTTGACACAATCCTCACTGGAGTCCTCTTTCCGGCACCACGAAGGGCAATACGGGGTCAGTGGGTCCTTTTTGTTGCAGCGCTTGCAGGTGCAGTGCTCTGTTCCGGCACGCAGGAAGCTCTTGAAATCACGCTTCTTCGAGAGCAACGCCAGATAGTCCTCAATGGAGTACTCCTTGTTGGGGTCCATAAGCTCGGCCCAGGTCAGAAGCTTGACGGCCACACCGAAGAAGTACTGGTTAATGTCATCGATGGTCTGCAGCACGTGGTCCAGCTTGAGTAGGAACGGGCTCTGCAAAGTACGATCCAGCTTGCTCAAACGCACCTCCAACTCCTTCCTGGACTGGCGAATGCTCAACAGAGATTTCGATAGCTGGTCACTGAAAGAGAATGGTCAGCCACAAATAGCGAATTCTGGACTACGACTCACTTGGACTGGTTAATGACATTGTAGGCCTTCTGGAACTCGCACAGCGATCGTTCGGCGGTCATTCGACTTAGGTACTCGGGATAGATATTGGTGCAGCAACTTTCTCCGACCAGCAGTCGATAGCGCATGGCGTGATAGCGCATTGTCTCGGCCATTTTAATCTGCAAGACCTTGGCTCCAGCCAGCTGTTTCTCCAGCTCCTTGAACTGCGTCTCTAGCAGAAGAATCTGCTCATGGACGCACTGCTCCAGTCTGAAATCATAGATGGTGTAAAGCGTCTTGCAGTGATCTAATGTGGGCTCCAGTACATCGAGTGGTATAGTAGCTCCCCGGCAAGGTGGCGGCAAAGGGCGACGCTTGTATCGCTCCGGCGGATACTCCCAGCACGGGCCGAAGCGGGCATCGTTGGTAACTGAGAGGGGGTTCTCCCAGCAGGGCTTGTACACAGGCTTTTTTCCGCCATACGAAGGATCCCGGCCGCAGGCTATAATCTTGATCTTTGGCGGTTTTAGTTTCGGTGGATAGATCCAGCGTTCATCATACAAGTGCTGCAGCTCAGCGATCGTTTGTTTGGGCGGCATTGAATTGAACTGAATTGAGAATTTGTACTACATATAGGAAATCTTTTATTTTGTCTTAATTTTTCCAGTATCCTTGGGGAATGTGACTTGAAATTGTCGGATATAGGCAAGGCTAGCTTTATAGCACGCATTAAAGAGTTTTCCGCCTCGAAAACGAAACTGGATCGCATAGCCAAGCAGCACAAGCTGCCCATGGATCGGGTAAGCCATTAAAACATTACCTCTGAGTATGTTATTTTTATATATGGAATGGCTGCAGCTTGAGTTCCTGCTGGTGGCCTTGCAGCGGGAGCTGCTGCAGGACTATCGAGCTGATTTGGACAAGCGGCCGCTGTTCAAACAGGGACTGACACGAATCGAAGACCTCAGCAATTGTGAAGTGGTTACCGGTGAGAATCGACCCACGTACTCGTCTACCCTCGTCTAATCCTTTTTCTTCTATTTTCCAGGTGCTGTTACCAATGTAACACACTTTGGTGCCTTTGTCGACATTGGTGTGGAGCGGGACGGCCTCTTGCACAAGAGCCACATGAAGAACTGCGACCTAAGCATTGGCGATCGCATTGTGGCCTCTGTGGTGAACCTGGACAAGAAGCGTCTGAAGTTCGGCCTACGTCTCGAGAACATACTGGCTGAGACCGACACATCCTTCACCTTCAAGACGGAGTAAAAGCAAACAGTGGGAGCTTAATGTTTTTGGAAGTATTTAATGTATCATTCATATTGGGCTGCTCACATGAGCATATACATGTATACTATATATAACTCGTATATATGTACATATATATGTATATATATGTGTATCTGTATAGTATAACGGCTTTCCTAAAGTTACTCAAAGCTTATCAGTTAGTAATAAATGTTCACATAAAAATCACCGCCTCTACAATGCGCGTTCTTGTTTCCCTTTTTCGTAATATGTTCTGAAGTTCTTAGATGAGAATGCTCGTGTGTGTCGGTGTGGTTTTTGGGGTTCTGGGTTCAAAGGGTTACGGATAGTACTCGTATTGCTTTAAAACTAAGTGAGTGAGTGAGTGAGGTGAGTGAGTGTGGGGGCTGCCCTCGCAGAGCCGTTTAAAATGTTGTAACTAAATCAATATACAATATGCATACATTTAGGCGCTTGGTTTAGCGGGCGAGCGAGCGAGCGAGTGTTCGCTTCAGTTAGTTGGTATTTTCGAATTTATTGCCGTTCCAGAAGAATTGTTAAAAATTATTATAAACAATGTTATACAGTTTGCATTTACATAATTACACAATACAATATAATATACTCGTAATAATATATTCAAAAATATATAATATATATACTATATACTCGTATATGTATGTTTTGTTGTTCTTTAGATTTATTGTTTCCCCATCAAATATCAATTTCATATTCTAGCTACATGGACATGTGGCGTAATCAACCAATAATTGCTCAAATTAATATTACTCATCCGCACATAATATTGGAGTAAGTTGTTGTTGTGTTCCCTACACAGATCAAATAGGATAATCTATCGCAAAAAGGCCAATGAACGAGTCATATATGTGAAGCATATGTGTGCTATGTATGTATGTATGATATATGTACGATTATTGCTTATGATAATGGTAGCTAATGTGCTCCTCTGATCTTCTGATCCTCTCATCGTTTTATTGTTACTGTTCTTCAGTTGTTCGCGCGTGTGTGTGTGTGTGTGGTGTGTGTGTAGCGAAATTGTTCAATAATTTATAATTTATTTTTATCATTTATAATGATAGCATAGGTAATGATGTAAGTATTGTATATCAATTCTCGTAATTATAATCTATGTGTATAAGCGATTTGCCCTCACGTTCTTAAACGGTCGTTCAACAGAATCCCTGGCAAACAAATCTAAATCGAAATGCCAAATATCTCTGTTGAACGACCGTCTCAGATTACATAGTACATAAAACCATCTCATACAAGTTAACAAATTCGATTACAAATTGGGTTCGTATTTGTAGTCTTAATCATCTCAAATTGATCTTCCGCTTAACCTTAAGATCCGGCACTTGGAATCATTCGAACGGTAAAGTAGGATAAATGTATTGGCAGATTTTTTGTTGTGTTTGTTTGTTGAGTGGGTGCCGCACGGCACGGCACGGCACAGCCGGAACGCGTGAGTGTGTGTGTGATGGGGTGGGTGTGTGGTTGGAGCCTCTCTCTCTCTTTACCGCTCCCGCTCCCTGCTGCATGAGTGCTGTTTATGCGAGTGTGTGGTGTGGTGTTAAGTGGCAGCGTGGCATATTCGGAGTATTCTATATTCATGAGCATTGCATCACTGCATCATCTCTGAATAAGAGAGAGAATAAATAGAAAAAGTGTTACAGTCGAATTGTGGATGTTACATTTAGGGCGTGTGGCACTTACCGACTGCCAGGAGGCGGATGCGGATGTGTATGTGTTTGTTTGTGTGTTGCAGGGTTGAAATGATCGAAATCAAGAGCGAAACGAAAAGTAATTAAACGAATTTTTTCTCCTTTCTGTAAGTTTAGAATGAAAACCAAAATTAGCAATCACCGAACAAAAGAGGTTCTGAAATGTTCGATATAAAGATGTGGAGCCAAGCTAGACATTGAAGAGTAAGCAATAAAACATTGAGATATATGTAGCCCATAGCTTGCTCACATTCAAGACAGGCTAGTAGGTACAGGTCGGGTCATTTACAGAGAGAGAAGCACCTTCGTTGGACTGCTGTCCGCGGATCGCTAGCCTCCAGGCAAGAGTCTACTACTCGTTTAAAGGCTTTTGGAAATGCCGCCAGAGCACGCTACAGCAGCAGAAGACATCGAGCCATCTGTAAGATTGAAGAATTCTTCCATTTGGGTTCTATTTTTGTTTGTTTGTTTTGGTTTTGACTGGCATTAATTCAACGGAACGTAACGAGTTGAGCGGGCGGGGGTAACAACGGATGGTAGCGAGTAACGAGTAACGCTCTTCGTTTTAGAGGCTACAAAATGTCGGTTCGGTTAGGATGATTCTCATGGTATGGTACATCAGTGTAGGTGTTGTTTTGTGGATGCATGGATGTGGGTCTACAATCAATCAATCAATTAACCAGGATAACCAGCGAGGCGAGTAGAGTGAGATGATTCCAGGGATTCTCTTATCATACAAGCTTGTTTGGTTTCGTTCTACTTAAAATTGTATCTCTATCTGATGTGTGCACATTTCTTGTAAAATTCTTGTAATATTTTTGTATTCTCATCATCTATGGTATGTGTATGTATATTTCGTATGCTTTTAGCTTAGGTATAAACGCATAAACGTCTGCTACTAATGAACCACATTTGTGTTTTGTTTTTTTTTAATATAATTTCTTCATTTCTTCGTTTCTAAATCTATGTATATTTCTATATAGTATGCATGTATAACGCCAAAAGTTCGGGTTTATAGCTACAAGTGCTACCAAAAAACATTAGTTCTCTATAGTTAACTATGCGCATCTTGACTTTCGAATCTCGGTATAGGTTTGATGAATCTTTCGAATTTTCACAGCATTTGTGGGGTTTGGGGTTTCGGGTGTGGGGTGTTGCACTCAAAATAAATCCACATAACAACTAATTAGATTAGGGATCTATGTTTATGTCCACATGGTTTTAATTGCCTAAACGCAACGCTCAAGTCTGAATTCTGTATTATTGTTAAAGTTAAAAACTATTTAAAATTAAAGCTTGTACAGAGTTCACAGATGGTTAGAGATGATCGCAGATGGTACAAATGTATGTATGATGGGACCACAATGAAAGGCAAGGCAAAACTCAAAAGCAACTTCCAAGAAAATAAAAAACAAACACAACGTATATATTTACAGACACACACAATTAGAGAAATTAAAGAAATGTGAGTATATTGCAGTAACGCCAGCAACATAGGAAGACACCGCAGCAAACACAGTCCCAGAACAGCCTGTTCCAAAGCAAATGGGAAGGCACTGAGAACCGGGGATATCTTCTGGGGGCAGGTGGAACGAACAACACAAGTAACAAAACAAAACAGAATTGCGGGGAAAACGGGAAAACAGGAAACAGTAATGGATCGAAGCGATCGCTTTAAACCACACAAGCTGAGAAAACTCCCATTACGCGTCAGCCAATGTCCTGCTGGACATTGCCGCCGGAGGATGAGGAGCTGCTGCCGCTAGCACGTGGTTGCTGACTGTACCTGTTCGATGAATGTGGCTGCCGCTGCTGTTCCTTCTGCTGTTGCTCCTGAATGTTAATACTTGGCGGCGTGGTGGGCGAGCAGCTGTTGCCCACGGGGAATGTGTCGGCTTCTTCGTCAAGGATTGCCTGCGTGGGCTGCAGCGCCTGCAGCTCCAATTGCTGCTGATCGGCTAGCATTTTGGCGCTAAGTATGCTCACATAGGTGCGGTAGCGACGCAGCTGTAGGATAAACCAAATATTACAATGTGCACACACAAGGTGGGACGGGCGGGCGGGCTCACTTCGTATTGCAAATAGCTCTCCTTCTCCTTGTAGTTCTGCAGTGGCAAGCCCTTGCTGGGTATCGGCCCCTTCTTGTGCTCATTGAGCTCCTGCTCCAGCTGCGCCAGCTGCACCTCGTGCGACTCCAATTGCTCCTTCTGCAATATAAAGTAAACCCATTTAATGAGATAGGGATCTTTTGAGTGTGACCCTTCTCCACGCAGATACTTGCCACCATCAGTTTTGTCTGCTTGCTGGGCAAGAGTGGGCGCTGGAATCGCTTCTGGCTGCCCACCCCGCCCTCGAGTGGCGGCGCCGAAATGGCGGCGCACACGTAGTTGATCGTCTCGACCCACGAGTGGAGCTCCTTGGAGTCGCTTGTCTGGAAGAGATACTCGGCTTGATCGGATGTCTGCAGACGGAACACATGTTGCTTCTTGGTGTAGTCATTGGCCTTGGTGGCCAGGGCGTGATGTATGCGTATTGCATTGTGCAGATTGTCGGACATCTGTGGGATACAAAAGAATTAGGGCTGTGCCGTCTACTGGTGTGACTTCTACTCACTTGACTCTTGCGAAAACCATGCTCATCCTTATGCAGATACAGAACCAGATCACGCAGCGTGCAGTAGAACATCTTCCAGGAGCGTTTGCCGAAGGGAGCTGCCAATGTAAAAAGGGTACAGTTTTCGGGTAAGAAGCAAATTCGTCTAGAATCGTATCCCAGTATTCCTCACTCTTTTTGTAGCTGCTATCGTAGCAGCATTTGCGCATCACATAGCCCTTCTTGTACTCCACAGCGGTGGCCAGTTCGGGTGCATCCAGGAAGGGATTCTGTCCAACATTTCCCAGTGCATTGTTGCCCCGCTGCTGCAGATCACCCGCATCGTCATCTCTGAAAGAATAAAATCAAATTTAATGGCTTTCCTTGACTAAAGAGATTGATTGATCTTACAGCGCCCATTCCAGCGGCTTGGTTTTGATGGCCTGATACAACAACTTGAGTATATCCTTGGGAAAGTTCTCGCCATCGTTGAGATCTGCCAGATTGTCGACAAATTCCGCACAGCTCATTTTACGATTCATATTCTGCCCATGCAGATCCGTGTTCAGAAGCATTATGGCACAGGTCAGCGTGTGCACCGCGTCCTGCGAGTTGAAGGTACCCGGATTGCAGTCCAGAAAACGTTTCGAGAAGTGCACTAGCACCCGCTCTCGCTCCTGGGTCTCGCCGGAGAGCGAGAACTGTTGCAGGAATTCGCGCAGCGACTGGTCCAGCGACTTTTTCTCAAAGGTGAAATGCTTTAGATACTCATCGGCCACAGCCCTGCTAAAGTCGTTGCTGAAACGAAATCCAAAGTGAACAAACGGTTCCACAAAGAGTCCTAGGGCGGCACTCACTTCTTGCTGAGATGCCGGGAGACGTCGCTCTTCTTGAAACCATCGAGGGAATACAGTCTTTTAGCCAGGCGTATGGCCGAGGGCATGTCCACAGCCTTGGGCGAGTAATGGTAGGAGTGCAGTGATTCCACATCGCTGCCATCATCGGAGACGGGTGGCGAGGCGTCTCGCGTGCCCTGCGCCCCCGCCCCAGCCCCCGACGACATCGTTGTATGCGGCTGCTCATCCGTCAGCGTGACCACATCGTCCTCGGACCGAGCCGCACTGCCACCGCCACCGCCACCGCCGTTGTTGTCCATGCCGCGCACTTGGATGACCACCTTGTGCTCCGACTGATCTCTGTCCCTGTCCCTCTGCTGCTGCTGCTGGGCACGCAGCTGTTGCTTGAGCTGCTGGCGCTGCAGGGCGGCCCCATCCGAGACGAGTATGGTGGAGTCCGAGTCACTGGGATCGCTAAGTACCATGCCGCCTAGAATATCGCGAGAACTCAATAAGTTATCGTCGTCTTGGTAGTCGGGACTAGATATATTCGAAATGGCCTCTGAGACGCTCAGATCGTTGCCACAACCAACACCACCACCACCAGCACCATTGCCAGTCCCTGGACAGGCTAGCAGACCGGGCATGCCGGAGGGCGGCTGCAGGGAGGCTGTTCCGCCTTGTTCTCGCTGCTCTAGCTGCTGCTGCTGCTGGTCCGCTGCCTGGCCATTGCCACCCACGGCACCGAGGGCACCCTTTGAGCCCGACGAGGACATCACCGACGAGGACACCGATGTGGGGGAGGCAGGACTGCCGGCAGCCGAATGCTGCGGCGACGAACTAATGGAACTTGAATGTGAATTTGAATGCGATTGCTGACCGTAGAATTGCTGCTGCTGCTGCTGTTGTTGTTGCTGCTGTTGCTGTTGTTGCTGTTGCTGCAATAGTATTTGTTGCTGCTGTTGCTGATGGAGCTGTTGTTGCTGCTGCTGCTGTTGGATCTGCTGCAGCTGATGCGGCTGCAGTGGTGCATTATAGGTCCACACAATCCGATCTCGATCCGATGCCTAGGTATAACACAAAAACAAAGATTAGTAGACGAAAGTATAATTTCACGGAATGTCATTTCAAGATTCGTTTTTTTGGTAGCTCTCGAATTTCCATTTTGCCGTTGCCCAATCTCACTCTGAGGAGTCCTAAACAATTGCAAAAGTGGCTTTTATTTGTTTGAAGCGTTCTCTATTTTTTTTTGTTTTTTTTTTTTTGGCTGTGGCTGTGTGTCTGTGTCTGTGGTATGCGGTATGCAGCAGGTGTACGTGTACGACAAGTTTTCGGTGTGTTATGGGTGTTTCGTTTCCTCATGGATCCACATACGATATAGAGTATGTTTCGCAAATCTTTTAGTCTACTATCAATCAAATTTCTACATTTACAAAACTGTTCCAAGCGCAGGCAAAGAAATCAAAAACTGGCAACTCAAAAAAGAGAGATCACAAATCAAAAAAAGAGTCAAAGATCACATTAATCGGCATGCCAACTATGCAGCATGGCAACCTTTTTGCATAGGATATAGTTTAATTTGTTGCTGCAGTTGCTTCCGATCATCTTCTTGTTAGTTCTCGTGGCAGTCGTTGCTGTTGCTGTTGCTACACTGCTTTCGCCCTCGCACTCGCTCTCGGTTTCGTTTTCGGTCTCGCTGCTATTGTTGTTCCCTATTGTTGTTGTTGTTGTTGCGGCACTGTTGTTGTTGCGGCTATTCAGCGGTTCACTCTCAATCTCATTCTCGTTCTCGTTGTTGTTCAACGCCGACGAGTTGTGTACAATGGTGGCCACCGACGATGCAGTGGTGGCCGTCGACTAGAAAGCTCACACATTGGTGGACAATAAATTGCTCATATATCAAATTTGAGATAGTTGAGAGAGAGTCAAAATAGGAGAAACAAGAGAGAACGGAGAACAGAGAAAACGAAAAGAAAGAAACACGAAACAAGAGAGTAAGATAGACAGAGTTGTTTAGTAGTAAGTTGGAAAGATTAAAGTAACGAGTGGCAATGTTATGGATGTAGAATAACGAGTAATGGAGGTAGAAGTGAAAGTACAAGTAATGAAAGGTTTTAATAGAAAAGATCAAGGTAACGGGTGGATATGGAATGAAATAACGAGTATTGGAATGTTTCTAATAGGAAAGAACAAACTAACGAGTGGGAATGGGAGTCTAAATAGAATAACGAGTAATGGAAGTACAAGTAGAATGGTACTAATGTAGTAGAAAGTACTAATGGAAATGTTCCAAATAGGATAGTTCAAAGTAACGAGTGATATGTATAAATACGCGAGTAATGAAAGGAACGGAACAGGTCGGGATGGGGGAACTCAAATGGAATGTTATATGGTATATGATTTATAGAACAATGCAATGGTTTTACAATCAAATATATACACACATACGACAACAGCTACAGTAACCAGAGTTAACGGCAAACTGAACTCTACAAAGCACTTCAAACGAGAGGGGGGTTCAACGGGTTGGCGGGTATTATACGGATTACTAAATGAGAGACAGAGACGTGGAACCGTATGTGTTTTTTCTTTTGCTGGGGGGTAGCTGGGGGGAGAAAGATCGATCTGGCGGAAAGTTCGACGTAGTTCATCTATGGCCTAGGGCCATCTATGGGCGGCTAGAGCTCTATCCAGCGATTGAAGTGGATTTAGTACATGGTGCGCTCGACTCGACGCCTCACCTGCGAGTCCTCGGAGTCCTGACGCGTGTCCAGCAGCGTATTGAGTGAACTATTCACATCCTCATCAATGTCGATGGGTATCACAGCCGCAATGCCCTCGCGCTGGATCTGCTGCAGATGATCCTCGGACTTGCTGGTGCGGAAGCCGGCGGCATCGCATTTGCGCACCACATGCCCGTTGTGGTGGCGTCGCACAACAACGACACCAGCAGCCCCACTACTCGACTCGGGAGCCAAAGAGCTCGGCTCCGGGCTGGTGGGCACCGAATTGGCCGTCTCCTTGTCGATCAGGGGCGTCGACAGCGAAATGGGCGATGTTGGCACTGAGAAGGAGGTCTCGTCCTGCGAGGTATTGGCTGCGCCCAGCCCCACGCCCATGGGAATGCCCATGCCGCCGGCCGCCTCACTCTTGACCGTTGTGGACGAGGTGGAGCCCGAGGCAGAGTAGCCGGGCATGCGGGCAGCACAATCGACGGCATCTCGATTGCGCTGCTGCTGTTGTCGCGTTGCGGCACGCTGCTTGAGGGCGCGCAGTCGCTGCTTCGTAGATCCGGAGCCCAGCGAATTGGTTGAGTAATCCTCGTCGCCGGCATCGTTCTCCTCCTCGTCGTAGGCATCGTCATCATCATCGTCGTCTTCGACCAGGCACTGGCGGTCGCTGTCATCCTCATCGCCGCGCCCCATCCCGCTCTGGTACGTCTCTATGTTGGTGATGTCGTAGTGGGTCTGATCCTCCTCGCGCTCCTCCTCCGCCTCCGCCTCTGCTTCCACCTCCTGCTCCTGCTCCTCGTCCAGCTCGTCATCGTTCTGGTAGTACTCGTATCGTTGCTGCTGCTGCTGCTGACGATAGCGTTGCTGGTGCTGGCGTTGACGCTGATGCTGATGCTTGCTGTCCTCCTCGAGCACATACTCGCCCTCCTCATCGCGCTCCAGCTCCTCGCACATCAGCAGCGTGTCGTTGGTGAGCGAATCCTTGCGGTTGTAGCTGTTGTTGATGCTGTCCCGCTGCTGCTGATGTTGCTGCTGCTGCTGCGGGTGTTGTTTGCGCTGCAGCTTCGCCTCACGCTTCACCGAATCCGAGCTGGTGTTGGTGGGCGAGTCCACCGAGGAAGAGGATGTGGGCGAGGATTCTCCCGAAGCTCGTGGCGCTAGGGCGCCATTCATCCGGGAATTGGCCTGACGAATCGGCGAATCACGCAGACTGTCAACCTGCAAAGGAAAATGTTACGTTTTAGCAATGAAATCGCATGCGTTTCTCTTTATTTTACTTATGTACCTTCTTGGCCTGGGTCGTTAGGTGATTGCTGGTCTGTGGTGTCCTGGACAGATTCAAGATCAGATCTCCCGTCATCATAAAAGCCTCAAAGCGTGGCGCCTTCGCCGATTGCGGTGGCGCCGAATTCGGTTCTGGTTCCCTCTCTGTGTCCGGCTCGCGCTCTGTGGAGATCCGTGGCCGGGTCACGGGACTGCCGCTGTAGCTGTTCGAGTGCTGCAACGATTGCGGTGGCAGCTGGGAGTTGTGTGCACTCCCGTTACCGTTGCCGTTGCCGTTCGATGCCTTTGTGGGTATCTGCGAGGAGCGTGGCCGCTTATTTTGTGGCGAATGGAGCACGGGCACGGGCTTGGGCGCCGGGCACTTTCGCGCCTGTGGAATGCGTGAGGGTCGATGCGTGGGCGAGGTGGCGTCCGAGCCCGTTGGCGACGTTGGCGCTGCACTTGTGGTGATGGTTGATGATGTCGTCTGAATGGTGGTCTCCACCACCTTTATCTTTGTGGAGCTGGCCGAGGAATTGCGGCTGTGTGTGTGGGTGGTCGTAGTGGTGGATCCACTGGCCAGCAGCGGCGAGGAGTTCTGCCGCAGCGATGGCAAGTGTGTGGGCGACTTGAAGCGCAGTCCGCTGGCCGCCGCCGGAGAAGATACCTTGCTGTTGTTCGGACGATGGTTGGGTGAGGAATTGGCGCTGTGGCTGCTGCTGTAGTCGTAGATGTTGGGAGATTCAATATCCACATAGTGTGGACTCTGTGTGTTGGCCAGCTGCTCTTTAATTCGTGCCTTGAGCTTAGGATCTAAGGGATGGCAAGAACATGATTCGAAAACTTCTATAAACACGCCATTTCTTTCGATTCCATTTACCTCGCTTCAGTTCCAAGGTCACCAACTGTTCGGACAATCGCAGGCATTTGAGAACTATCATAAAAGATAAAGAAATGTAAAGCTCTCTCCTGATGATCTAGCTACAAGTTTACGTACCCTCCTTCGTTGTATAGCGATGGACATCGGTTCCATTGACTTTGAGGATGACATCCCCGGCTTCAACCTGCAACAAAAAGGTGGATGTGGATGTCTCGTGTTAGTTCCGGGCGTAATCGAATCACTCGACAACAAAAGCTTATTGATTTTCTCTTTTTGGGTATTCGGTTTTTGCACGCCGCCGTCTGTCCCGTCTGTCCCGCCTGCCCATCCAGCACTATGGCTGTGTGGACTGTCGGCACTTGTAAACTATTTTTAATTTTCTTCTCGATGGGCCTTCAACGGCAACGCAAGAGTGAACAGAAAACAAAAACAGCAATGGCAACAAGGAAAATAGGAAAATAACATGAAATCACAACGTGGGCCCCCCCCGTCCGTCCACCGCCAGCAACGACATTGGCGCCTTATTTACTTGCTGACGTAGAAGCGAAAAACCGAGAACGAAGACACACTGGAGGAGACGTCACAGCCAGTGGCCGGGGCGGAATATGCTCCGCCGCATGGATTATTCAATAAATGGAGGACTCCCTAGAACAGAGGGTACCCCGAAAAGCGAAATGTGACACGCGCCGGGCGCCATCTTCCATGTCATGCAAAATGCATCAGCGGCAGCGGTAGAGGCAGCGGCAGCAGGAACACAGCATTACTTTTATTGCATAATTAGTTTTTCCTGCTTCCCTCACTATTTATTATTAATGCTTTTTTCGGGAGCAAAGCGTTGCCGCCTCTTGGGTCTCTCGAGGGTTTGTTTCCACTTGGCAGCCGCGAAGGCAAAGGGGCCGCAATTAAAAACTAAAAGTCGCACTAATTTATGCGCTCTGCTCTCCAAAGTTCGTTTATAACAAGAGCGAGCGAAACGGTGGAGACGGAAGGACGGAGGAGACAGAGGCGAAGGCGAAGGCGTCAGCTGAGCATGAAGCGCGAGCACGTTCAGTCTGCACGACAGAGCAGGCAGCGACCTGTCTCTGCACAACCGAAACTAACAGCGAGAGCGAGAGAGAGAGAGAGCGCGCCCAAGAGAGCTGATGCAAAGAGAGACGGATTCTGTGTTCTTGTGGGAGGCGGCAATGCAATTCAATTAAAACTGTGTTTAATTTAATTGTTTTTCGCAAAAAAAAAAAATACAAATAAAAAAGTGCATTATATAATCCCAATGGGAGGTAGTCAGAGCTGCAAAGAGTGGTTTTGGGAGGGTTAATGCAATTTCTAGCCAAAAGAAAGTCTCAAAACCGTAATGCAAATTTGATGTTTCCCCTTCTTCCACCCATTGGCACTATCAGCATGGAGTACCACAGCAGGCACTCAAAAACATGTTTTCTGCGATAACAAGCTACGATTAATGACTTACAGCAAAGGTGAAGGCTCTCTCTCTCTCTCACTCTCTCTCTGCTGTGCGCTCTCGCTCTCCATCATCTCCATCGGATATTCGATTAGGCAGTTTACAAACACAAACACAATGCAGCAGCAGCAGGTGCACACTTCTCTCCCCTCTCCCTGTGCACACACGCATACACTCCTTTTGCATTTCACTTTCACGCTTTCGAGGGGGAATGTCAGCAAAGCAGTTGAAGCAGGCAGAGGCAGGCAAGCAGTCAAGCAAGCAGTAGAGTCAACCAGCAGAGCAGGCAGAAACCCGGTTAAAAGTTAAATCAATCAGTTACACTCGGTTGCCACCACCATCCCCCGCATCACCCCTCTCCTCCTCTCTTCCACCCTTGGATGCAACGCTTGCAGCACAAATTGAAATTGGTTTGAATTGATTTGTTTTCCAATGACACTTTGAGGAGGGTTTTTTTGTACGTGCACTTCCTACGTCACATTCCCATCGCCCATCTTCGATTTGTTATCTTGCGAGAGGCTCGCACACAGTATTGGGACTTACGGAACTTTGAGGGCGTTGCCAGATGCCAGAAAACTGCACATGCACGAGACTAGGGTTCACAGACCTGGACTTAACCCTGGGCATACATAAATATAGAATGCATGTAGAAGCTACTTGGGAAAACAGAAAGACAACAAGGCAAACATTCAAGTAAATAAAGGAAATCTTATCAGTTGTAACCCCCTCCTAATGCCACAATAATCATGCTAACCCATTGACAACCTGATAGTTATATACTTTAGTATTTCCCTCACATTCGACCATCAATTAATGAGCACTTCAAGCAGCAATTAATATCATTTTTTTCGGCTACTCGGTTTATTATTTCGGAAGTGTTCCACAAGAGATACAATATTTATATATAGATGTCCGTATATAGACGTGTGTTCAATGACGTTTTATTGACACAACGCTACGACGACGACTTGTTCCAATATCAATTAACAATAGCAACAACCGAACGCCCACTCACTAATATAGCGGGTAAACAAGGCAATTGATTGACTCTACGAGTACGAGTACGAGTACGACGACGACCTATTCAAGTACAGACCTCTGTGCCTGTGCACTACCTTCACCGTTATAAGTCGAGGTGGTTGTGGTTGTTGTTGTTGCTGCTGGCAGAGTCGTTGACAGGCTGCAGTAATAGAAAAACCCACTAACCTCCTTTGCTGCTGGGCAGAAAAATCAATGTTAGGCGCAGATAAGCCCAAGCACCCAACGCCTCCATGGGCAATGGAAAAAAATTTGTAAAGCCACAGCCGCAGAGGTAGACATTTAGAGTAGTATGGCTCATGGCTCACTCAAACCAAAACAAGCTCTGTTATTGGACTAATGGTTATGCCACTTCTTTTGCCATTTGCATTCTCGTGTCATTCTCAGTGTCCCATAAAGTGGACACTGGAAAGTGTCCGACACATCAATCACATCGCACCCGGTACTAGATGTTGAAATGTGTTCAGTGGAGATTTTAGCAGATAATTGGCGTGTCCTTTTACTTGTGGGAAATTAAAGAACCCTATGAAAAGGGCTAGTTTTCGTACAGAATTACACATGTAATTCTAGTAATTCTCTTCCTCTATTCTATCTCCTCTATTGTTCCTTTGTTTGATTGATAATCATATTATTTGCCAACCCTGGTCGATAGCAAAGCACCCCCCCTTTTGGCACTGCTTTATTGTTGTTTTATTCAATATTCCAACGACCTTGCCGGCCTGGCTCCCCCACATTCATGGTGGATTTCCTTTCATATTTGCGCACGCCGTCGAACAAAAAAAAAAAACAAGAAATAAAAGAGAATCAAATTAGCATGGAATGAATGGTTTATTTCATTATCATGCTACTCGCTCTCCCTCTCGAGTGGAGGGTGCTGGCTGATGATTGTGTAATCGCGGGAATCGGAAGTCTCTGAAACGGTGATGTTATCGCTGTGGTGTGTCCCCCCCACCAACACTTAATAAATGTCAAATATGGTGGGGAGGGGTACATGCTATATAGGTGTTGCGACGGCCTGGAACCTGACCTATTGTGATACTTAATAATGTGCGAAATGCCACAGAAACTACGGGCGATTGTTGATTGAGTGATTCCATGCCCTGTGCCCTCTGCTGTCACTTGATTGGAACTTGAATCGGAAATTGCTTTCGCATTTACCGCAACTTGAGAAGCCTTCTTCCCACATGTTCTTCCCCCCTCTCTTTCTCTCTCTCTCTCTGTCCAGTTGTTCTTGTCTATAATTCCAATCAAGCTTTCAATTTGTTGCCCTATATTTTACTTTGTGGGAAACTCAATGAAGAAACCATGTATCAAGTCACTCATCTGACAATTCTTTGCTTTTACTTTAATTCAATTTTCACTCCAGCATCAAGGCTTAGTATCGATTGCATAACAAGACTAGTTTCTTAAGATATTCCTCCCTCTTCTTCGAATCTTCAAATATTAAAAGTACATGAAGTGAAATTAGCACGAAAACTGCCATGGAATTTACGATATTTACCATATTTATACACAAAAATCCAGAGAAAATGTTTGTGTGGGCCTTGTCTTGCAACTTGTGCAAAACGCATAAAAATGACTGCAACAGAAACAACAACCCAGAGGGAATGGCAATGCGACTAAAAAAATACCCTCTAAGGGGATTTCCTAAGAAAATATTACAAAATTACAATTGAAAGAAAAAAAGGGAATAGATTAAACTTTGCATTTTATTCTAAATAAAAGCAACAATATTTATGGGGTTTGACGTTTCCCACATAAATACCATATACCCCACGTATAGTCTTCTAATAGGGGGTGGGGGGGGTTGTATACAAACTAGAGCCCGTGCGGCAAGAAAAACAAAAAACAAGAAATGTTTTTGCACACAAACGTTTTGTGCATCGCACATTCTAGGATACGAGCGGCTTTTGCGTTTTTGTTTGCTTTTTTGGACTTTATTTTAAACAGTCGAGGCAACGGGGCCCGTGCCTAGAAGCAGGGTTTATTTTTGCTATTGATTTGCATTTTGCCTTGGCTGTTGCTGTTGCAATTTCTGTGTGCATTGCTGCGAATGTGGGCCACAAAAACGAAAGAGAGAGCAAATTCCAAGCCGGCCGGCCGGCAGGCCGCCAGGCCACTTTCCGTCTAATTGAGGAGAGCACTCCAAGAGGAGAACAACAGAAGCGCCTCCGGTAGGCAAGGTGGGGTTAAGATGAGATGCGATGAGTGCTGCCACTCAATTTCCAGACAGATGGACAGACATCTGCCAAGTGGCAACGCTGGTGGAGATGCACCGTTGTTGCTTTTCTTATTACTTTTTATACTCTTGCAGAGAGTTGTGTGCTACTATTTCTTCTTCTAGTTTGTACTTGCTCGCTTATGGTAAATTAGTTTACTCGGGTGTGGTATTCGATCTACAAGGGTATTCAAACCATCGTTTAGCTTCTGTTTTGGTCGTTTTTCTTATGTAATGCTTGGACGCACACACGAACGGGCCAGCGTGCGAGCGAGACGCCAAATATAAATGGTTCGGATTTAGCGCAAAGTTTACTGCTTCAGCAGCACTACGCTTTCTACTACACTTTTTGCATGCCTGAGTCGAAGCCACGGGAGCCACTGAGTGCCTTATGCACTTATTGTTCTTATTATTTCTTTGATTGTTGTTGTAGTGGCTGTATGCTGCTCGCTGTGCCGTGGCGTGCAACGAACCGCAGCGTTGGAGCCGCACAGCGTGCACACAGGGTACACCTCAGGTCTCTACCACCCTCGCAAGTAGAAGAAATGGTAGAGAGCAGAGAGAGAGAGAGAAAAAGAAGAAAAACCAACTTAATAAACGCGTGCACAATTTTTCATACTGTTGTAATTCAATTAAAGCGAATTTACTCTACTTTTTTTTCTTTCTTTTTTGCACTTTTGACTTCAACTGAACCGAACGTGGCAGGGCAGGAGAAAGGTACTACTAGGCAAAAGAGAAATGTAAGTCAAAAGCAAAAAAGAACTCTTGACATTTCAAAAGAATACCACTATTAGTACTTGCTGTAGAATGTTTTCTTGTTATTTTCTGTGCTTTTCAGAGCTTGAAGTTTGCCGACTATGAACTCTGTCTGATGGGACGTTTCCTTTAAAGTTTCAATTGTCATTAGCCACAATTTTCCAGGCGATATACCCCGTCCACGTCCGTCGTTGCCCCAGCGTGAGATCGGTATTAGATGGAGAGAGAGGGAGGAGGTGGCCACATTCTAGAAAATCAATAAACTGCTTGGAGACACTTTTTTCCCTGTTTTTCTTCTTCTTCTGTTGTCTGTTGCCTGTGTGTCGGTGGCAATTAATTTGTTCCCTCCAACAGCAGGCGTAGTCGAGAGCCAACAAAAGTCGTTTGTCATTTCCAGTTAACGAGTAATTAAGCAAAACGTTAGAATTTTGCAACGATTCAGAACCAGAACAGAACCAGAAGCAAGCCAAGCAACCACAAGATACCACGCCAAAACCACACACCAACCGAAACCGAGAGAACAAAAGAGGCTCCGGGCAAACGGTGGGGTTGCAGAAATAAATGCGAAAAAGTCTGGGCAGGCGAAATGGGGTTTGGCCACACACAGTCGTTTTATTAAAGGTTTCGTTTCTGAAGAAGAAAGGAGGAAGCACTCTCTTTTTCGCAATAGAACTTTTAACAAGTATGGTTCAATATACGGACTAATGGATACCCACTGATCGGGTTTTGTAGGGTCTCCAGGGTACACAAGAAACAGCTGAAATCAAAGGCGGTCTGAGACAAGGATGGCATAGGAGCCTGAGAGAGAGAGGGAAAACTATCTACAAAGTGCTGTTGGACCCGCAAAGATTAATGACAAAACAAACACATGTGTAGACAAAAATATTTTAAAAAAATACAAAATGTTTTTGATGATAATTGATCATGTGTGCTGCGCGTGGAAACTATACAGAACATTAAATACTGTGTGTTGTTTTTGAAATTTATATAAAAAATAATATTCCCGAAAGAGAGTTGAATGTGCCATAGATTAATCAATTGCAAATCCGAAAATTCCTTTCAGGAATACCATGAAAGAGTGACCACATCATTTAGGATTACTTTATTCGCGCAATTAAGCGACAATTTGCCATTCACCGTCTGCCGTCTGTCACCCCCGCCCCGCCCCCCTGGGCAGACGGCACCAGGCATGACAGAAAGACGTCTGTCACTCTGGAATCTCCAGTTGGAGAAGCACTGAAAAGGCAAACAAACGAGCAACAAATGCAACAAATGAGAAAAAGGGAAGGGAAGAAGCAACAGCAGAGTCCGACTGCAGTCTACGCGACAGAGAAAAAGGAAAGGCAAAAGGCAAGCAAAGAGAAAGAAGGCGACAACCGATGACAGCATGGACAAACACACCCTTGGAGAGAGCGTGTGTGTCGTGTGTGTGTGTGTATGAATTCATTGAAAAATAAAATTGTCCCGCAACCAGAATGACGGCATATAAATAAAAGGCACTATACCCTAAGGGGTCGACTTGTTAATACCCATTAAGGCATATCCGTTTGCATCTCCACCTGGGGATACTTTCAGATGCTATAAGTACTCGGAAGAGATCGCTTTTGATGCCCACGAAGATTAATTGATAATGGAGGCGACACGCTATCTACAATTAAGATATTCTTCCCCAATTTGAGGCACGTAGTTAAGACAATTACATTTTATGTGATGGTCATCTCAATTGGATAATTATTACATACCATATCTAATCTTATGGTTATATTTGCCATTAAATGAAAGAGATAAAATGCCACCATTGCGAGACGCGTAAGGGGTACCCCGAGTGCTGCGCCACACAACAGCAAAGACAACAAGCGAGAGGAGATTGCAGATAGAAGACAAAACAAAGTAAAACCCCAACAACAAAGCGACAACAAAATAACAACAAGTTGTAAAGCGAAAGCGATAAGAAATTGAAAAAGTGCGTGCCGGTTAACGTGTGTGTGTGTGTGTGTTTGCTGCTGCACAAGGTATATTAAGAGGAAGGTACGTGCGAGAGATCGGCCTGTATTGAGGACTGAATGAGTGCGGGATCTATGAGACGATGCCGAATTTGTATGTGAATGACCTTGCCTGGGCCACACCTTCTATTTAATATACATTGCCACTGCATTGCGCTGCCTCCGCCCGCTGAGAATTACCTCTTTCTCCGACATACCTGGGGACATTGCTTCGTTTTTGTGGATTGCATGGAATTACTTAATAATTTTAACAATTTAAAATTCCAAACGCGTTGGTTTGTTTGGGAAACAACAAAAAAAAACTCCACTTTACAATGATGTTTCTGAAAAGCCAAAACCCGATTCGAAGGAGCCCAGCCAGAGCCCTCTGTTTTCATGTCATCGCGCGGATTGTTGCCTCGTCCGATAATTATAAAGTGTACCCCGTGCGTTTCTGTCTGTGTGTGTGCGAGAGAGTTTTATTTTTAGAAGAAAATAAATGTTTTTCCTACATTTGCATTTTGTTTCGTCTCCGACTCCCTCCTTTACATTGTTTTGCATTTCATTTGAATTAGAGTTGCCCCGCGACAAATTAATAATAATTCAAATGTCCAGCACGTAAAGTAACTTTACTTTTTACAGCAATATCCGTTGGGGGGCGGCCATTACTCTGCTGTTGACTTTTTCTGGGGGAGGAAGACTAGTATGTATTCTCGGAAATTGCAGTCAGTTTTGTTTACTTTTCCACGCAATGTGACACCCATTAGAATAGTCAGATAAGATATAATAATCTTTATTCTTTCGGCTGATGCATGAGATGGGAAAACTTTATGAATCATGGGTAGAGTTACGTCAAACGCTATCTATCTATCCATATCTAATTTACACCCAAAAGCGAAAGAATCCTCTCTATCCATTATCTTTTCCAAGTGCCGTTTCCCTCAAATTTAAACAAACAAAATCATAATGATTAAGAATGGGACCTACCGAAAGCATGCGTCAGATATGAGTACTATTTGTCATTTGCTTACGTATGACTTTCTCGTTAATTTTCATGATTGTAGATCACCTAATGTTTTATAAAAATGTCTAAAATCCAGAAATCAATAAGTTACGACTAACGAAAATCTTCCTTCTCTCCGAGGCACATGCCATCATACATATATCACCCATCATAGTTAGGGTATCATTAAACACAGACATACTTCCACCCGCCCCCCCTCCAGATGAACTGTTTGCGTTACTTTGTTTCTCTGCGTTTACTTTTGGACCCCGCTCCAAACATTTGCGATTCGATGACATTAAACGGTAAAACAAAACCAAAAACTGATACGAGCCAGAGAGTGTTTCTATCTTTATACTTTTTTGTGCGTGTGTGTGAATGGATCTATTTGCTTGGCATCCCTCCTCTCCAATTAAGACCAGCTTAGGGAGAGAACAGCGATGACATCACAGAGGAAGAACCACATATTTGTTGCTTTGCAAATTGAAATGCTTTTCACATACGCAGACAGGCAGACAGACAGATAGACAGCATAAAAAAGTGGAAAATATTCTTATCAAGAGGCAGAGGGCACACAAATGGGCGCGCCGCGTCCATCATCCCATCCCAGACATTGGACAGCGGCAGCAGGCGGCAGGGACACTTGGGGGCAAGACATAAAGGAAAATGTTGCAATGCCAAAAGTGAACCCAAAGGGAAGTAGAAGTAGGAGTGGGAGAGGGCGAGGGCGAGGGACAGTGGTGTGAGAAGGAGGAGCTCCTGCTTGGTGGTTGATGAAGTCATTTCTTCGCTCTTTTACGGGAGAGAGTGCGCCAGTCCCAGACGGGAATATGGCCAGTGACACACACAAACACACCCGATTGGACTAGGGCTATGGGGAGTGGTGTCCTGCATGGAGTCATTCACTTACCGATCCGCAATCTGCTGCCGGCGAATTCTCCACAATGTCGTAGATGACATGTGGCGGTCCAGTTGATCCAAGTAGCGAAAACCCGAAACCGGAATGCTGTTCGCTGCGTCGCAGCACCACTTTCAATTCCTCGGTCATTGCGCCGTGTCCGCCGTCCGTCTGCGCCTTCAGCCCCAAAAAAGATGCCGCTCCCTGTGCGTGTGCTGTGATGTCGCTGCTCCTGCTGCTGTTTCAGTGCAGTACTGCTTGGCTCACACTCTTATGTTTATAACTTTTTCATATATATTTAATTTGTACTGCTAGCTTTATTCGCGTTCGTTTTGGGCTTGGCTAACACTACCTCTGCCGCCGCTGCTACCTCTGCCGCCACTTCAGCACTTCTTTTGAGCAGTCATTTGCACACACAGAGAACAGACACAAAACGCACTCACAACACGCACACACACTCATCACTCTCACGACACAATTACAGCTTTAAAATCGACTCCTTCGCGGATTTTGTTTATCATTTTTGTTTAATTGTTTGATTGCACTTTTTCTCGCGGCTGGCTGGGCGCAGCCTTAACTCTTTAAACGCAAATTTCCAACGGCCACCGCATCACGAAAACTTGTTTAATTTTTTCCTTTTTCTTCGTTTTTCTCTTCTTTTTTTTGTGTTAGACTGCCGCCGCAGTGGCTGCTTTGCTGCGTGTCGCTGCCACGGATCACAGTGGTTCAACCGCACATTCTAGCGCGTTTGCGTGTTGCTGTTATTAGTAACATTTCCGTTTTTCTTTTACCAGCATTTAATGGTGATTAATTCATTTTTTTTAACTCGGAGGAAAAATGCGCGACGTTGTTTTCAGTGTGACCGCGGAGTTATCGATAAAATATATCGTCCGACCCTCGGAAATATACCGAAACATACCGCCTCATTTTCAAAATATACCGTAAATATACTGACGAATTGAAGTTGTACTAAAATATTTCTCGATTTTGATATTCCGTGGAATATTCTCAGCTATATAGAACATTTAGCCATGCCCACATAATTTTATACGATTGATGAATCAATTTTCTACACAATTGGTTAGTTTTCAATCCTTGCTTTTATTGTATTTATTGTAAAAAAAGGTTTAAGCGAAAAAGTCCAACAAAAAAGGAGTCACTATGTTGCGTGAAAGCCGTAGTATAGGCCTTTGTATACCCTATTTTGTTAATTTTATATGAAGATGAAACGTGATTTATAAAGACCTTTTCTCAAATTGATATTCTTTAGACATATTCAAGTACATTATTAGTATCTTGTGTATATTTATCTCGATCCTGATACCTACCGAGCCTGGGATGACAAACGTATTCACAACTCTATATCATCCATTTCCCCAGGGTATGTGTGCATGGAATTTGCAACATGTTTGTGTATGGAGTGAGACTCATTGTTGCAAAAGCGAAACTGCGGCGAATCGGGTATTGCCTATATTTCAAGCTATAGATGCCCACTTTGCTTTATCCCATAGATAAATGCATTTTCTACAAGATTGCGTCTTTAAATTGCTTGTAAGTATTTTATTTTGACCAAAAAACGGTTTTCAAGTAAATGTTGCCTAACAGTGTGTATGGTATGTGCAACATTGTGTATGGAACGAGACTCATTGTTGCTAAAGCGAACTGGGGCGAACTGCGGCGAATTCAAATTAGATAAAAAAAAAGACCAATTCTTTGTTCCGTTGAATAATACTATCTATATGGAACATTTAGCCATGCCCACTTAATTTTGTACGATTGATGAATCAATTCTATACATGATTGGCCTATTCAAAATACTTGCATTTATTGGATTTCTATATAAAATTGAAAATTCAATTAATAGATTGATGAAATTTACAAAAATACCATGGGAGCGCGGCGAAAACTAGTATTTCTACAGTATGACCCTCAGAACAGCACCGAAATACACAAAATATACCGAGTGGTGCGCGCCAAATCGAACTTTTTTGAATGTGAGCGACAAGGATTTAAATGTTGTCTACCGGGCCTTTATCTATGCCATCATAATTTTATACGGATGATGAATCAATTTTCTACTTAACTGGCTTATTCTAAATACTTGCTTTTATTGCGAAATAGGTCAATCAAGACAAACGAAATAGGAAATTGCTCAATTTTGATATTCCATTGAATAATTCTGACTAACTAAATCTCTCAGCAATGCCCACATAGTTTTATCCCATTGATGAATAAGTTTTCTACAAGATTGGCTAAGTTTAAGTACTCCCTTTTATTGGGTTGAGTCTAAAATAAATTTTAAGCAAAACTGGTCAACCTATAAAACAGCTGTGAACGGCATAAAACGTAAGTGAACATATGGACATAATTATGCACCTTATTAGTTTCTTGTACATATATCTCGATTCCGATACCTATTCTTGATCTCTGTAAGAAGACCATAAAGTGCAAAAATTCATTGTTACATATTTAGAACAGAGACTGACTACATTCTATATCCCTTTCCCAAGGGTAGCAGAATGTTGCTCATTCCCGGGCACATGCTGCTGTCCAGTACCAACTTAATGTTGCCAACGGTGTAGCGCAATTGTTGAGATAAAAATCCTCCACCGATACTATCGACTGAATTCGCGCCAAATATAAATTGTTTGAAAATTATTGAGTGACAAGGATGCGTATGCAATCCAGATGTGGTTATAGTGAGTTAGTTTAATATTATATTAATTCGAATGAATAATAATATTCGAAGGTCGTAATAGAGGAATATCGTTTCTGATCATGGACAGGAACGATTACCCCATTGTAGACCAGTGGGTATAAAGATATTCCCAATTAAAAATTTGAATCATAAAGAATTTTAGCGCAGGTGACGTAAAAAACAACGTGGACTTTTTTAAGTAAAGAGAATGGATAGGAAGGACCTACAAGATTAATTATTATTATTATTTTCCGCGGTTTAACCCAAGTTGTTGTCCTGCTTAACTAAAGGGGGCGTAAGTGGGCTAAGTCACACTGCTGCTGACCCAAAATTAAAAAAATATACGATAAGAGTTGCTACAATCACAATAAACAGTTGAAAATAAACTTGAATTAAATGACCACATCCACATGTCACTGCCGCGCATCACGGACTATGATATTCTCGAGAAACTTGGAGTGGGCAGCTATGCATCCGTCTACAAAGCGCGCCACAAAGTGGGGCATATACAATATGCACACACTTTTACGGTCAATCAATTAGCTGATTAAAATTTACTATATCTCTATTGCAGAAGCAGCGAACTTATCATGCCATCAAATATGTGGAAATGTCAACGTTATCGCAAACCTCACGAGAGAATCTAATAACGGAAATACGCCTCCTCAGGGACCTCAAACACAAGTACATTGTTACGTTGCAGGATTTCTTCTGGGACGATAAGTACGCAAGTAGATAGCGTTCATCAATGCCATTACTCATACAGAGTATTCCCCCTAGAAACATTTATATTGTGTTGGAGTACTGCAATGCCGGCAACCTCTCTGCTTTTATTCGCACCAAGAAGGCCCTGCCGGAGACCACCTGCCGCTATTTTCTACGCCAGTTGGCCGCCGCCGTGCAGTATATGCGGGCCAACGATGTGTCCCACTTTGACCTGAAGCCCCAGAACCTTCTCCTCACACGAGGAGCCAATAATGTCTCTCTTAAAGTAGCTGACTTTGGGTAACCACACGGAAAACCATGCCTAAACCATCTTTTCAAACGTTTAAATGTCTCTCTTTAGATTTGCCCAGCACTTGAAGCTGGGCGAAATTAATCAGCAGTTGAAGGGATCACCGCTGTATATGGCCCCGGAGATTGTGCGCAAGCACCAGTACGATGCTAAGGCGGATCTCTGGAGCATTGGTGTGATCCTGTACGAGTGCCTGTTCGGCAAGGCGCCTTATAGCTCGCGGACCATTGAGGAGCTGCTGTTGAAGATACGCACTGCCGAACCCATTACACTGCCACCAAATGCTCGCATCAGCAACGAGTGTCACGATCTCTTGGGCCGCCTGCTGTCCCACGAACCAACGGAACGCATTTCTTTTGCGGATTTCTTTGCGCATCCGTTTCTAGATCTCAAGACGTTTCCCACGGAGCACACGCTGCAGAAGGCCATCGATCTGGTCACGCAGGCGTGTGAATACGATGAGAAGCACAACTACAAGGAGGCTTATTATCTATACTGCAGCGCGCTGCAATATTTTGTGCCGCTGATCACGGAGGAATCGGATGCCCCCAAGCGGCAGGCCTTGCGCAACCGAGCGCTGACCTACATGAAGCGCGCTGAGGAGATCAAAAACTGTATAATCGAGGATGAGTACAAACAGCTGGCACTGCGGCAACAAAAGGCTGCTGCTGCTGCATTAGCAGCCGAACATTCCACAGAGGCTCTCCAAACCGCAGAGCCACAGCCTAGTGGGTCGACGGTGGCGGAGATGCTAGAGCCAGATGCACGATACAAGCAGCTATGTATGAGAGGATAAGCGGTTAATGGTGTTTGTGTTTATGGTTAATTTTTCCAATTCCATTTCAGTTGCCTTGTCGAACTCTAGTCCGTCCCTGAAAACAGGCCTAGAGATCGGACGCAAGGGAGAGCTGTATCTGTACGAGCGGAAGCTGGAAGCAGCTCTGGAGTCGTATACCTCAGCACTGGGCATTCTGGTGCCTTTCGTGAACAATGAACCAAAGGGGGAACGTCGCAATCTATTATTGCAACAGGTTGGTGCATAATTTAAAATTTGATCCACTATAATGATAATTTTTCCTTTATTTAGTTGGAGTTTTGGATGAAGGAGGCGGAGAGCATTAAGAGTATATTGAGCGCCAAGAACTTGGACGAAGAGGAACGGAAGCTGTCCACGGTACACAGCTGCACCATACAGTAGTAGTAACAAAATAGAAATCATGAGCAATTTTTCAGGCGCCTGGAGCGCACTTGTTAGAGTATTTTTGTAGACCGATGTTAGAGGTGCATCGCATAGTCACGTAGCCTTCTTATATACTTGTATACAGATACTTATATACAGAGATATATCTATACTAGAATTGCTTTCTATGTACAATAGAACCACAGCAGCTTTTTGTAACGCTTCCCCCCCAAAAAATCTATTTTATTGTATGTACGAATAATACCAGAAACCCATTATGTATGTCCTAACACTTATGAAAAATTTGAACGTAATTCGAAGAATGTGCCCTAGTGGAGCAGCGGTATTAGCCTTAACATTGATGGCCTTCTTCTTTCTAACATTAAATTTATTCTTTTTTGTTTGTCTCTAAAACGTTAAGTTTTTTATACTGTAATTTTTTTCTTTTAAGCGCACCATCATCAGAACCAACACATTCCTCGGATGGTCGAATCCTCCAAAGCTATACCTACTTTTATTCATTGTTTTTAATTTGATTAAAATCGTTTAATTGATAACCGCATAAAGCTTCGTTTGATATCAATGGAGATACTCACACATTCTGGCAGCGATAGCACTGTCGTCGCTCTCTTGTAATCTGAGCTCATAAATAATCATAATCAGTTCGCAGTCCCGATATTGGCAATGGCCAAAGAGCTCTATATAATAGGGCGGCCAATTGACAGGGAACACATTCCGCTCGACCATGCTGTCGCATAAAAATCTTCACCTGGCCGCGCTTGTACTTTTGGCCATTGTCGGCGTTGGCCATGCTGCACCTCCCATGGGTCGTGTGGTAAATGGCACGGACTCCACCATCGAGAGGTATCCGTTTGTGGTAAGGTTTACGGATAACGGATAAGCGGATATGTACTACTGTGGTTATTCTCTCAGATATCGTTGCGTGGTCCGACCGGTTCGCATTCTTGCGGTGGATCCATCGTCTCCAAACAGTTTGTGATGACTGCCGCTCATTGCACAGCCGGCCGCACTGCGGATCAGCTTACGGTGCAGTATGGACAGACACAGATCAATTCCACGGGTCCCAATGTTGTGGGTGTGAAGAAGATCATCCAGCATGAGTTGTACAATCCCAGCAAAAACTATGCCAATGATATCTCGCTACTGATGGTGCAGGAACCCTTCGTCTTCGATGATATTAATGTGGCGCCCGTTAAGCTCCCAGTGCTTAACTTTTCCACTCCTCAGACGGAGGATGGTGGCGAGGGAGTGCTCATTGGCTGGGGTCTAAATGCGGTGGGTTTTGAGATTGGATTGGAAGAATCCTTAATTCTCCCTAGAAAATCCAAATAATAATTTTGCTCTCCCTTCAGACTGGCGGCAGCATCCAGACCACTCTCCAGGAGGTGAATCTGAAAGTCTACTCGGACGCGGAATGCACGTCTCGTCATAATGGGGCCACGGATCCCAGTTACCACATTTGCGGTGGTGTCGATGAGGGCGGCATGGGACAGTGCAGCGGGGACTCGGGCGGGCCTCTCCTCTACAATGGTCAACAGGTGGGCATTGTTTCGTGGAGCGTCAAGCCCTGCACTGTGGCCCCCTACCCGGGTGTTTACTGTAAGGTCGGCAATTACGTTGACTGGATTAAAACGAGCCAAATCATATTGGCATAGTCACAGAAATTCCCCCAATAAATTTGAAAGACATATCTTTTAAAATTGCCCCATAAATCATAGGATTGGGGTCCACTGACATTGCTCGTGGCGATTGATAAGGCAATCTGATTTCAAGCATATGAAAAATAAATAATGTTATTTTCCAGGTGCGAGTGCAAAATGTTGCTTAACGTGCATCGGAAGCCTGCACTTTGTTTTTTGTAGTACTGGGAACAGCTGCATTGTAAAATAGCGAAGTGAGAATAGAAAGTTAATTAGCCCTTGTGTTGATTTAATTTATCGGGAAATGCCTTAACTGAAATGTATAACCTTTTGAGCCCATTCTCTTCCTTTCAGTGACATTTTTTGTTTGTTTTCGACTCACTCTTTCATGAAATGATTACTTTATAATCTTTTTTTACACCATAACATTGATTCTGAAATAAAATAGTTTTTAAATATGTAAATGTGTACCAATCCTCACTCGTTTTTAACAGAATTAACCACTTTCAATGCCGCTCAATGCAAGCTCTAAAACTGTACCACCAAAAATGCAGAATAAAAGAGTTTGAGCAGCACTGAGCCACTGGACCAATACGAAGACGACCCGAAGCTGCCACAAAAAGCCCGAGCATCGCCGTTGCCTATGCCTTTTGTGGCACGGTTCTTCTTTCCTCTGCTTTCTGCCGCTGCAGTCAACATTTTCAACTCTGACGAAGCGCACGGTTCGACGGACTCAGCTAAAATCAGTTGGAAATCAAATATTTTAGAAAAACGGTCAGTGAATGTGTTTAAAACTGAAGAGTGAACACAGGAATAAACGTTTAAGCAATTGCAAATGTGTCTAAAACAAAGGTTTTTCAAGCAAACATTTGTGGAATATCCAAACAAAAGATGAAACATATAAAATGTATTTTAAATATAGAAAAACTTCACAAACATTTTTCAAACTATAAAGAGAATGTGATAGATTGAAAATGTGTCTGTAACATAAAAAATTCCCCCCCAAAAACTTTTGTGAAACTACAGAGAAAATATGTAACAAATTTTGAGTTGAAAAGACTGAACAGTGAATAAGAGATAAAACTAGTAAAATCTATCTAAAAACGCAGAAAATTTACACGAATAAAACATGAAAAAAACATATCCATAGAAATAGAGACTGCCCTAAAAACATTTGTGAAACCTCAACGAGAAAGTGAAAACTGTGTTTTTTTTTTACGATAATCTCTGGGAAAAGATCTTGTCAATGTTGGTGTTTTTGTGTGGCTGCACTGTGCCGTTGCACATTGTGCCATGCAAAAATGAGAAAAATATATTTCATTTGGCATAAAAGAGCAGAATGCGGAAGGCCATCCATCCATCGCCCATTATGATGGACCATGGCATTCATTCGTTTAATTAAAAGAACAGAACCAAACACAAAAGCAAAAAAAGCCTCGTTAATTGGCTGTTGCGGGGCAACGTGGCGTATGTGTGATACTTTGGCTAGAATTTCGAAATAGCAGAAAATCAAAACCCGAATTGATCCCGTGCCCTGTCGGTGTGGCAGACAGGCATCATCCATATTTCACCGAATCAAATCAAAGCTGGCTGCAAAGTAGGCTGCAAAATGTACACACATTGTGCGAGGAGGCAGTAATACGATTTTGGGTTTCGCCTACCGTACTTTTCCATGTATTTTCCGGAAATTTCGTGGAAAACACTCAACACAGAAAGCGTATAGAAGAACTTTTAACCATCCCTCAGTGCCACACCGCTCCCCTGGCTCTCTTCCTCTCTCCCTTTCTCACAGACACGCATTTAACTAACAACAAAAGCAATTTGAAAACAATTTTTTGAGTTTTGTGAAAAACGTGCGGCCGTGTGTGGTCGTGGCATCCATGCTTATGGGTTTTGGGCCTGGCTCCATAGCTCCCCAGCAGCCCAACAAAGGGCGTGGCAGCATTTGGCAATTTGTAACATTTCTATGCTGCCAGGAAGCCCAGGAGCCCTACGTATAACAAAAGGTGCTGCTGCATGATGCAGGATGCTGCTGCCACAAAAGTTGCCCACGCATCGACAGCTTTTGTGATTTAAGTCGATGTCTTCCATGCGGCATCTGAAAGCAACTTCAAAGTACTTTTTCTTCAAAGACTTCTGATTAGTTTTTCACAGAAAGTGCAGTCCTTTATCTGCACAGATTTGAAGAACTTATAGGAATACAATTTAAAATTCCTTGCTTTTCATCTAAAAGATCGAAGAATTTTCCACCTAAATTGATTACCATTTAATATAGATTTGATTCACTTTCACAGAAAACTATATAGTCGTAAAAACAACCTATTCCTCTAGTGACAGGTCAATATTCAATTTCAGGTCAATTTCTGATTAGTTTTTCACAGAAAGTGCAGTCCTTTATCTGCATAGATTTGAAGAATTTATAGGAATACAATTTGAAACTCTTTCCTTTTCATCTAAAAGTTCAAAGAATTTTTCACCTAAATTGATTACCATTTAATATAGATTTGATTCAGTTTCACAGAAAACTAGATAGTCGTAAAAGCAAACTATCCCTCTAGTGACAGGTCAGTATTGTATTTCCTACTGTTTTCCGAAGAATTCGTAAGTGAAAATCTCATTTCTATTAACAGAAATAGAGAGATGGATTTTGTCCAATAGTTTATTCCAGGAAATACAGTCCGGCGCTTCCAAGTATCAGCTTACTCTCAGAACTGCTCTGAAGTATGTCGAAACATTTGGAGTGTTAGCTTTCGTCTTCATCATGTGCAGTTTCCTTTAAAGATCAAGTTTCATTTGCAGTCAAAAAACCAACATTGACCTTTGGCAGGAGCAAGTGATAAACCACACAGGAAAGACGAAAGCCAAATACATTGTACATTGTATACTGTACATATATTAATCTAGTAACCACAACAGAAACAAAAGCTGCCGAAAAAAAATACGAAGCAACTGCAATTTCAGTGAGTGCACACGCATACTGTTTGTCACTCGTCAGTCTGCCCGTCGACTCGTCCTTTGTGTGCGGTGTGTGTGTGTTTTGTGTTAAAGGTCAGAACTCATATGAAAATGTCGCGCTCTAACCAAGAAGCAATGTCAACAAATGTCGACGAGGACATGGCCTCGTCCATGCATCCAGCATCCTCAGTACTCGTATCCCCATCAGCATCTGCATCTGCATCTGCATCGATGTCCAGCAGCAGCCTGACGGGTGGCACACCTCTGTTTAGGGCCAGCCGGGCCACGGTGGCCGCTGCCCTGCTGGTGGCCATTGTTCTGTGCACCGGCAGCTTCGGAGTCGCCGACGGCCTCAAGTGCCACATGTGCGGCCAGTACAACGAGGGCGTGGGCTCCATCACGCCCTGCACCAACTACACCAAAGACATTGCCCATCTCTATCTGAAGGAGTGCACCAAGAAGAGCGAGAAATATTGCGTGGTAAGTCGGATCTGTACATACATACTATATGTATAGGTTTTTCGTGGAAATTTCTCGGCAAAGTCCAAGGTCCCACCCTCGTTCGGAAATCAAACCGAAACTGAAACGTTGCATTCATTTATTTATACACTCATTCATTTCGATTCATTGCTGCTCATTGTTGTCATTGTCCGGGCTAAAAAAAGACCATCCTGCCAGGCAAACAGCCACCATCCCTCCACTGAAGGTTTCCGCTCTTCCGCCACTCCACTGCTCCATTGATGACTTCTCGAGTTGATGTTTTCATTTTATTGTTCTTGCCATGTTGTTTGTTTGTGTTATCTCCGTATTGGCCATATATATATATTCTCTGTCATCAGAGCACGTTGGCAGTTCTGCTGTTGTCAGAATTTTGTTGGCTCTCTCGCTGGGGAGGGAACAAACAAAGATAAATTGCTTATAAAAATAAAAGCAATGCTGTGCTCCAATAACAGGGAGGATCAGCGTCTGGAAAGGGAGGGCACAAGTAAAGTCTGTTCTTAAAAGGAAATGGTTAAAAAGGTAATTACGAGTATCTTATCATTAACAAGAGTTTAAAACCAGGTCAAGAAAACAAATTCATTTGTCACAAAATTGATTCCCTAATTAATTCCCAAATTTACACGTATTTATTACAAGAACGTTTGTTCTTGTCTTTCCGGCTATATCCACAAAGAGGGCTGTAAGGAAAAAATGAAAATGTACAACTCTTTTAGCAAATAATTACCACTAATTCCTCCACTAATTAATATCAGGTAATGGCCTGCAAGGGAGCTTAAGGGTTGAGCTCATTGTCCATGTAAATCCATTACGTATACGCGCCGTGCTCGAGCTACTAATACGCAATGTTGCTGTAAGACAACCGTCGCACAGCCTCATTGTTTTTGGCCCCAATCACGCAACTGTCAACCCTACCTTTCGCTGCTTTCCATCCCATCCCTTCCCATCCATCCATCCATCCTTCCACCAAGAAAAGACAAACTAATGGCAACTGCCTGCGCTTGCAATTTCAATTAGTTTTGCGGTCGCATTTGGTTTCCCTCGAACGATCTCTGGCATGGGGGGGCATAGAGCACGTATGCCGCCTATAGTGGGGGCGTGGCAGCGCAATTGTGCGCATAAATTGCGGCATATTGTATGCACTCGATTCTCCAGTGTATCTGTAGCCGTATCCGTGTCCCAATCCGAGTGTCTGTATGCGTAAGAGGAAGGAGCACTTAACGAATTGCAGCAGGAGGAACGCCGAGTAAAAGCCAGATCAGGCGGAGGAGCAGCTCTGGGGCTGCTCCTGTTTGCGCTCTGATAATCATTAAATATTTAACACCTACTTGCCATGCACAGCTGCCATCTGCCTTCCGAGTGCAGCCCCTTATACCACACTGCTCCAACGGAGGAGGAGACCCATAAATTGTTATTTTCTGCGGGGCTCGATGGGAACACGTCCTGCTCATTTCAACGGCCACACCCGTAACGCCCTCGTCTCGTGGGAATAATTTAGTTAGCATGGTTTTTCTCTCGGAGCACAGTTTTCTTGGAAATCAACACATGATTTTATCACAAGTCGACGGATCCTATTTTGGGAGCTCCTGGAAATGAAGCAAAGTTTTTTCAAAGTTGTGGAAACTTTGGCGAAAGGCACATTTAAAATTGGAGAAATATGGAGAGAGCTGTTTTAATATATACGATTTTGATTGCAGTTTGTTCGCTCTCATTAAAATAGATTTTCATTATATTTTTTCACTCGTTTTCCATTCATGAGAACATTATTTTATGCACGCTTGGGAAAACTGCATTTAATTGGAATTGGGAGCAAATGAGCATACATTTAACAAATTTATACAACATTGCGGCATTGCCTTTGTACCCCCAAAAGTGTGTCTTTGTAGCAAATTTGTATTCCAATTTATTTTGTGAACATTCGATTGATGGACTGCCATCATTTATGCGAATATTTTAGCATATTTTGACCTATTTCATATAATGTTGAACGATTAACAATTATTGAGTTATTCAATATATTTATACTAATATTTATTGGATAATTATGGAAAATGTTGTGCGGAAATATGGTACAAATTGTGGTTCGCCCTTGGACATGCGTATACTGACTTCGAAAGGAACAAGTTTTTTCCAACCTTTTTCCGCTAAAATGGTTTAAATGACAAACCAATAAATTTAGAAGGACATCCCATTCTTTATCTGCTAAATGTAGCTGAAGTTTGTACAAGAAAATTACAAAAGAAAACGCTTGAGCCCGTCAAGGCTCAAGTAATTCTATTTAACTTTATTTTCTCTTTTTTTTTGTGCTGCCCTTCTGCTGATAATTGCCATTCATTTCGTTATTAACAGCTTCACAGACACTTAATTAGAGGCATAATTTATGCCAAGCCGCAAGACTAAAGGGCCCCAGAATGCCAGGATGTTAATGATGATGTTGATGAGGATGCCCTCCAGTGAGCGCCCCCGAAAAGTGGACAGGCAAGAAAAATATGCTGCAACACGCGACTATACAGAGAGGAGACCAACTTTTGTTTAAATATTAACCAGCAGACTAAAGACTGCTCCTCCTAATGACTGCTCCTCCTCCTTCTGCTCCTCCTCTTTCATCATCTATGGATGTCTTACATAAAAGTTGAAGTGTTTCCTTGGTATTATTGTAGTTCTTGTGGGGCGGTTGCTGTCTTGACTGCTTGACCTGATGTCGTCTTGTTCTTGGCCAAGTAGTTGATGTTTTTCTTCTCCAAAAAAAGTTACAGGACCATGGCGCCGTCTGCCTGGAATCGCCTTATATATATTTATGAGTTAAATTTATATTCAAATTAGTTGGGTAACCAGTTTTTGGATGGTGCCCAGAGGGGGGATGGGACGCAGTGCGAGCAGTGTAACAACATGGAATGAATGCATAATTCATAATTTTAATAATGAGTGCTCCAGGGTAGCAAAAACTCTGCTATTCATAGAGCATACTCTACATCTTGGAACAATGGGTGTGGGTCGTTCATTGTTTGAGGTTCGGCTCAAGCACGTAAACAAATACTGCATGTGTGTATGTATTTAACCCTTGACCTCATGGAAAACAAAAAATAATGGCATATGGTAGGATGGGAATGGAGGAAAAGCCAACGCCTGGGCACGCAATTAATTTTTTTTTTTCCGTTTTGTTCATGAAAGCGACGCTTGATTACCCTTAAAAAGAAACGGAGTAAGGGTGCTATGGCTGATGTTACGACTGAATAGGGAGGCTGATGTTGATCAGGAATCTGGAATCAAGAGTACAATGTATGTTTTCGTTAGACTGTGACATACTTATATTATCATACCCTTATAATCTACAAAAATCAATCCACAATAGATCAGACGTCTGACTAATTGAAGCCGAGCTTCTATATATTGTAGGCTAAACACTTTTCTACGTATATGGCCACTGCAGTACACATTTTTTCTATATAGAACTGCAGTATCAAAGTTTTCCATTTTGGTGGAACTGCAGGAACTGCATTTGGAATTCCTTGCTGCATAAACAAAGCATTCCCTATGGCGGCTGCTGGTGCTACTACGTGCCTGTTGGGAGTAACGCAACAAACCAAACCAAAACGCTGAATAACGGACTCAAATATAGGCCACTGGCCGACCAGGCACGCCCCATCCACCACGGGGGGCCAAAAGAGAGAGAGAAAAAAAAAAGAATGCAAATATTTTGTCTTCATTTTCCCGTGCTGTAAATTCCTCGAGCCTCTTCTGTTTGGTGCCTGCCCCGTTGTCGATGTTGTTGTTGCAATTAGGAATGTTTACTCGGGGGCACCCGGAACAAACACGCCCCGAAAATCACTTAAAAGTTGGCATTTTTCCTTTTATTATGTTGCGTAAAGTGGCACAATTTAATGGTGCAAATATGTGTACAATAAAAGAAACAACAAATGGAACTGAAGTACAACAGTTTCATGGAATAAGAATAAAAATTAATATAATACATATTCGGATTTGGTCTTATTTATCTGTTCAGAATCTTAAGGCAATTTTGAGGAACAAATTTAAATAACTATTCTTTATTCAATCCTTATTAAGTTTTGCAAATTGGCAATTCTTTTCGTAGAACTTGAAGATCGTGTGGGGTTCCACATAGGTGTGGCCTAGATACAGACATAGACCTGATCAAAATCGATATTTGTTCTCCCTTTTTGAAAACTTCGAGCATCTGTTCAGCTTTGAAACCACGACTGAAAGGATTATCAATGACTACAGTGTGATCAACTTTCAATCGTACGTTTTGGTTGGTTTCTTTAATGCTGTGTTGAGGATAAGCCTCATCTCCGATAAGGAACTAGAATGGGCCTTCGCTTCATCAGATTTTCCCATGTTTCTAATGATTTCCAGATGCAGCAGTTGGGGTACAACAAAACATTCAATAGTTCAATTTACCACGAATATTTATGGACTACAATCGTGTTGGCCAATGGAATAAATTTGTTCGAAAGTCATTGGAATATTTTCTCTTGACTTTTTATCGTACCTTTATGGCTTGTCAATTTTTGTCGTCTTCCTTTTGGTTTGACATTGATACACTTTCCACGGTCAATTTTTTCCAACTATTTTGTTGGTAACGAGCTCAATTTGGGCTGTTACGCGCACAAAGTGATTTTTTTTTCCGTTCCGATAACCAATTCGTTTGGAGCCCTATGTTGTTTGCGAGGAAAAATTGCAATTGTAATTATGAAAATTAAATGTTACTGCATCAATAAGTCATCTATTTTATTTTTTTTTGTGAAAACGGGAGCAATATTTTAATCTTTTGCGAAAATAAAAACCATCAAAATTTTGTTTGGCAAAGAAATATCAATCGTTTGCCGGAGATTACCATAAAATTTTAATAACAAACACTCGAAATTTATTTAATATTCAGGAAGAAAACTTACCAGGAAGTTGTCTTATCTTAATATCCAGGAGCTCAGAGCATAACAGCTTAATAAAATACCAATGCCAAT